GTATTAGTGAGTCCTGTGGAAATCTACGAGAAACTTTTTTTCTCTATTTTCGGTCAAAAAGAAACTACGGATGTTGCTTTACAACTTCTAAAGAGACCATTTTGGATTATTATTTTATTTAAGGTATATTTTTTTTAAATATTTTTAATTACTTTAAAAATTACTTTTAAAAATTTTTTGTACTCTAAATTAACCAAATTAATAAAATTGAACTCGATTTTTGAACTGAAAATTAATTGAATTAAATTAACATACTTGAACTAAAATTTAAACGATACTAAATAATTATATTTAAAATAAAATTAAAATAATTAAAATTCAATTAAAATTTTCTGAAAAAATTGAAATTATAGAATTGAAATTTTCTAAATAAAATTGAAATTAGAATTGAAATATTCTAAAGTAAATAGAATTTAGAATTGAAATTTTCTAAAGAAATTGAAATTTTCTAAAAGAAATTGAAATTAAAATTAAAATTTTCTAAGAAAATTGAAATTAGAATTAAAAATTTCTAAAGAAATTTAAAATAGAATTGAAATTTTCTAAAAGAAATTGAAATTAGAATTGAAATATTCTAAATTAAATTAAATTTAGAATTGAAATTTTATAAAAGAAATTGAAATTAGATTTGAAATTTTTTAAGAAAATTGAAATTAGAATTGAAATTTTCTAAAATAAATTGAAACTAGAATTGAAATATTCTAAAATAAATTGAATTTAAAATTGAAATTAGAATTTAAATTTTCTAAAATAAATTGAAACTAAAATTGAAATATTCTAAAAGAAAATGAAATTAGAATTGAAATATTCTAAAAGAAATTGAATTTAAAATTGAAATATTCTAAGACAATATTGAAATTAAAATTAAAAATTTTTAAAGAAATTTAAAATAGAATTGAAATTTTCTAAAAGAAATTGAAATTAGAATTGAAATATTCTAAAACAAACAGAATTTAGAATTGAAATTTTATAAAAGAAATTAAAATTAGAATTGAAATTTTCTAAAATAATTGGAATTTAGAATTAAAATTTTCTAAAAAAAAATTGAAATTAGAATTGAAATATTCTAAAGTAAATAGAATTTAGAATTGAAATTTTCTAAAGAAATTGAAATGATCTAAAAGAAATTGAAATTAAAATTGAAATTTTCTAAGAAAATTGAAATTATAATTGAAAATTTCTAAGAAAATTGAAATTAGAATTGAAATATTCTAAAACAAATAGAATTTAGAATTGAAATTTTATAAAAGAAATGAAATTTAGAATTGAAATTTTATAAAAGAAATTGAAATTAGAATTGAAATTTTCTAAAATAATTGGAAATTAGAATTGAAATTTTCTAAAGAAATTGAAATTAAAATTGAAATTTTCTAAGAAAATTGAAATTATAATTGAAAATTTCTAAGAAAATTGAAACTAGAATTGAAAATTTCTAAGAAAATTAAAATTAGAATTAAAAATTTCTAAAGAAATTTAAAATAGAATTGAAATTTTCTAAAAGAAATTGAAATTAGAATTGAAATATTCTAAAATAAATTAAATTTAGAATTGAAATTTTCTAAAAGAAATTGGATTAGAATTGAAATTTTTTAAGAAAATTGAAATTAGAATTGAAATTTTCTAAAATAAATTAAAATTAGAATTGAAATATTCTGAAATAAATTGAATTTAAAATTGAAATTTTCTAAAATAAAGTAAAATTAGAATTGAAATATTCTAAAATAAATTGGATTTAGAATTGAAATTTTCTAAAGAAATTGAAATTAAATTTGAAATTTTTTAAGAAAATTGAAATTATAATTGAAAATTTCTAAGAAAATTGAAACTAGAATTGAAAATTTCTAAGAAAATTGATATTAGAATTAAAAATTTCTAAAGAAATTTAAAATAGAATTGAAATTTTCTAAAAGAAATTGAAATTAGAATTGAAATATTCTAAAATAAATTAAATTTAGAATTGAAATTTTCTAAAAGAAATTGGATTAGAATTGAAATTTTTTAAGAAAATTGAAATTAGAATTGAAATTTTCTAAAATAAATTAAAATTAGAATTGAAATATTCTAAAATAAATTGAATTTAAAATTGAAATTTTCTAAAATAAAGTAAAATTAGAATTGAAATATTCTAAAATAAATTGAATTTAGAATTGAAATTTTCTAAAGAAATTGAAATTAAAATTAAAATTTTCTAAGAAAATTGAAATTATAATTGAAAATTTCTAAGAAAATTGAAACTAGAATTGAAAATTTCTAAGAAAATTGAAATTAGAATTAAAAATTTCTAAAGAAATTTAAAATAGAATTGAAATTTTCTAAAAGAAATTGAAATTAGAATTGAAAATTTCTAAAGAAATTTAAAATAGAATTGAAATTTTCTAAAAGAAATTGAAATTAGAATTGAAATTTTCTAAAAGAAATTGGATTAGAATTGAAATTTTTTAAGAAAATTGAAATTAGAATTGAAATATTCTAAAATAAATTGAATTTAAAATTGAAATTTTCTGAGAAAATTGAAATTAGAATTGAAATTTTCTAAAAGAAATTGAAATTAGAATTGAAATATTCTAAAATAAATTGAATTTAAAATTGAAATTTTCTGAGAAAATTGAAATTAGAATTGAAATTTTCTAAAAGAAATTGAAATTAGAATTGAAATATTCTAAAATAAATTGAATTTAAAATTGAAATTTTCTGAGAAAATTGAAATTAGAATTGAAATTTTCTAAAAGAAATTGAAATTAGAATTGAAATATTCTAAAATAAATTGATTTTAAAATTGAAATGTTCTAAGAAAATTGAAATTAGAATTAAAATTTTTTAAAGAAATTGAAGTTAGAATTGAAAATTTCTAAAAAAAATTGAAATTGGAATTTTTTAAAAGAAATTGAGATTCGTTAAATAAAAACTCATAATTGAAAATAAAATTGGAGACAAAAAAATGCATGCAAATTATTCACAATGTTTTGAAATTAAAAATTTTACAACAATAAATTGTTTTTTCTTAAATTACGTATAGATATTGTTTGCGATTTACATGCTGTTGACTGTAATTGTTTTGTTACCCCTGCTAATTGCCATGATGAGTGACACATATCATCACATTCAATCTCAAAGTGATATAGAATGGAAATATGGACTCAGCAAATTGATTCGTAGTATACAAAAGTAAATTGAAATTTATTTTGTTCAAAATAAAACTCTCTTTAAAAAAAATAGTAAAAGGACAAAGTAAACGAAAATATTTTTAACTTTTTAAATAAATTTTAGGACAAAAACGGCGCCAACGCCATTAAATTTAATAACAACCTGGGCATCACATTTGTACACATTTTTAAAAGATGAATGGTCAGCGAAAAAACCTTTACACAAATTTCGCAAATTTTTCCGACAACATAGATTCTTCAAAAAAAAAAACCTATTTGACGTAAGTTTTATAATTTATATAATAATTTTATTGTCGAAAAAAAATTCTGTCTATAGCAAATCTAAAATCAAATTAAATCTCAAAGTTACATAAAAGAAATTTTGATATAAAACTTTTTATCTATAATTTAAAATACAAATATATTATATTTTTTGATCGTAATTAAAATTTTGTTATAAAATTTTTTTATCTGTAATTTAAAATACGAATATATTATATTTTTTAATCGTAATTAAAATTTTGATATAAAATTTTTTATCTGTAATTTAAAATACGAATATATTATATTTTTTAATCGTAATTAAAAAATGTTTCTTCGCTTTTTTTTGCAGAACAATAAAGTGACACCGCAACTGGAAAATAAACGCATCGTAACATTCTCACCATTAGTTTCGAGTGAGTCAGTGAGTACAAGAAGTGGTCATTCAATCATCGAAACTATTAAAATTAATGATGTCGTTGACTGGAATATTGTTCAACGAAAGTATAGAGAGCAATTTAGTGGTGAATTAGAGAAATTACCGAGAAAATGATTCTCATCAATGAAACACGAAAGGAAAAAAAAGAAGAAAAAATAATCTAAAGAGCCGCGAATAGTTCCTAAAAAATATATATTATATTGTAGTTTTCGTTATATTCTAAAGAAGCACACTAATTGCATTATTTTATACCTAAATGTAAAATTGTAAAATATATTTATTATACAATAACAAAGAACATTTATATATACAACTGTTCAATGCTTTTATAAAAAAATTAATTTTATTATCATTGATACTTTTATTATATTAATTCGTTCTCTAAATTTCTCTTCTAAATGTATCTTTTTATATATAAGTTTAAATTATTTTATGAAAATTTATATAATAAACGAACGAAATCTTATTTCAATAATCGAATTCGTAATATTTATTTCATTATAAAAATAAAACATTTTAAATAAAACGTTGTAAATAAATCATAAATAAAACAAAAAAAAACATTATTTATAAAAATAAAACATTTTAATAAACTTATTTTAATTTTTATTAAAATTTCTAATTTTATTTTTAAACTTTTTTTATTTAATTTAATTTATTTATTATTTATTTAATTAATTTTTTTATTTAATAATTCTAAAACTAAAACTAATTTCAAATCCAACAAATGTTTAATAAATAGGACAATTATTTAATTAGTATTGTATAAAATCTGTCACTGTTTCGTTGATCTATTAAGAATATTCTGAAATTTCCAAGAACGGCAAGTGGGGGATTCCCGGAATTCCATAGTGGGGGCAATGAGAGTGAGAGAGAACCACGAGAGTTTCCCTCTCACTCGCATTGACCCCCCACTCTGGCTCTTACGTTCCGCTTCTTTTAATTCCCGCTCACTTTAAAAGTTTAAAGCGTCTTTATTTTTAAAATGAGTTTTTAATAAGTTAACGAATTTATATGAAGATTTTATTTATTTTATTTTATTTGATAGTATGAGGAGCTAGTGGAAAATAATTGCAAAAATAAAATAATTGAAGTAATATATTATAAAAAAAGAAAAGAAACGTACCGAATTTTGAATGAAAGAAATTATGTTTCACCTTTACCAAATGGTGATTCAGAATTGGTTTCCAAATAATAGGTTCCTCTTGTATCGTAACTCAACTGTTCTCCCATAAATACAGGTGGATTTTTCGAATTACACGTTCCAGATTTAAAGTCCTTCCAACTGTCACATTCAACAGCGACAAAAGCATTTGGATTCAAAATTGATTCGCTCATAAACTGATGAGATCTCGCATGACTGCAATATTCTGGTGAAATCCAAAGTTTACACAAACATTTATTTTTACTATTAGGTATTATTATTATTATTTATTATTATTAGGTATTACTTTTATTATTATTATTATTAAGTATTATTTTTATTATTATTATTATTATTATATATCATTAGGAATTATTATTTTTGTTTTGTTAAAAATAAAAATCCATCGCGCTTTAAAGAAAGGTTATCTAAGAAGCAAATTAAAAATTGCCAACAACCCAACATTTTTTGCTTTTTAGGAACCTTAATTTCTTCGGAGCGTATCACAAATAAAGTTTTCTTTTTAAAAAATCAACAATAAGGAAAAATTAATAATATATATATATTATATGAATAAATTTTAAATTTAAAAAAGTTATTATTTATTACTAACGGGTCATGAGTATTGGACATCCAGGTTGACGAAAGGTGCCTCCATTGGGAAAGAAGTCCACATGTCCAATGGACTTTGCAAAGCCAATGGTACCACCACAGGTGTGTATAACATCAACAAAAGCCGCATCAGAAGCGTCGAGACGATCTTTTGGTTCCTTAAATCTTGGCCTTTCAAATCCAGGACCAGCGGGATCCATACCAGTAATTCTTCCAATTTTTCCTTGGAGATTTGCACCAGCATATCCAGCAATATGAGCACCTAGACTGTGTCCCAAAATGTGAATACTATTCAAATCAAGGTCCGTCTCGTTTTGAAGAAATTCTAATAATTCCGCCAAGTATACACCAACCTAGGCAATTTTTTTTTTTTTAATAAATTTTCTTCTATTAAACGTTATTCTTGTTTCTTTATTATATATGTTTTTTTATTATTCTTTACTGGAGAATTGAAAAAAAGAAGTTGTGGGAAATTATGGGAAAACTCTGGAAAAGTATGAGCAAAAGCTGGAATCAATTTTTCCGAAATATTTTACTTTTCTATCAAGTTTTATACATTTTTTGAACTAGGGTAAAACTCTGGGGAAGTATGGGCTTAGACTGGAATCAATTTTTGTTAATTCTTTTATTTTTTTATTCAATATCACAGTAAATCGAGAAGTGTTAAAATAACACCAGAATGGATTAAAATAATCTGCAACAGTTTATTCAATCTAGGATTAAATTAATACCAGAAAGGATTAAAATAATCCATTTTGGTGTTATTTTTTACTACAATTTAAATCAAACACCAAGTCAACGATTTGTCAAAATTCAACAAAATTAGCTTCACCAGAGACAATAGTTAGTTAGTAACTAATTTACTAACTAACAAACTTACTAACTAACGAGCTAACTAACTTTCTAACTTACTAACTTTCTTAACTTAGTTACTAAGTAACTAACTAAATTACTAACTTACTAACTAACTTACTAACTAACTTTTTAACTAACTTACTAACTAATTTACTAACTAACTTACTACTTTACTAATTAACTTACTGATTTAAGATATTTACATGAAATTTATCCCTCTTCTTATAATTTTATTAATTTTAACTCTGTCATTATTCCTTATTTTCTTTTTAGGTGTCAATTTTCTTATTTTACAATAACAAAGAGATGCATACTTTTCGAAAATGTGGTTAATTGATAAAACAATTGAACGAAAACGACAAATTTGCAATTTATATTCTTTGAAAAATTTAGAGAGCAAGAGAAGTTATTTTTATAGAATTTGAAGAAAATAATTAATATAATATATTAAAATCATTCACATATTATGTGAATGATTTTGGTCTAAAATTAAAGAATGGAATTTGTACTTGATATTGTATAACTGACAAATCTTTAAAATAGTATATTTTCCTCCCGTGGTGCACATACTATTTTTTCTAACACACGTAAACGGAAAGTACAACCACTTCATAAAAAATTTTAACGACAATAGTGTTTTCAACCGAAAGCTTATTATAATAATAGTATAATTTTTTAAAATGATTAATTATTAAAAATTAACAATTTAAACAATAACAATAAACAACAATTTAACAATTTAAACAAATTAAAAAACAACAATTTAACAATTTTAACAATTTAACAATTTTCAATAAAACATAATATATTTAGTCGTAAATAAAGATACATTTTATCTTTACATTGTTATTAAAATATATTACATATGATTTTGGACGACAGGGAGGTAAAGTACTTTTCTCTCCCCGCTATGACGTCACGGGGAGGTAAAGTATACTTTTCTCTCCCCGTTATGACGTCAGAGGGAGGTAAAGTAACATTCCCTCCCTCTCGTCGGAAAAGACATACTTTCCACCCTCTACACAGGTAAGAAATGATGTACTTTCCGTGCGTGTGTTAGAAAAAAAATTTTCTTTAATTGGCGTTCGCTTGAACTCGAGATTTCAAAATCGCAATTTTTACAAAAAATCTCTCACTTCAAAGAATTATTTTTTCAATATTTACATTATAATACATTAAAATATGATATATCTTAGCCTATTTGACTCTAAATTTATTGAACTTTAAAATGATCCTAGTTTGATAGCTTTTACATCTATTTTTACAGAAATATTTGAATTTGAAGTAAAGCGAGCATTTTAAAGTAATCAGCACAAATGTAGTGAAACTTTTTGACCCCAGTGAACTAATTAACTTAATAACTAACTTACTAACTACTTTACTAATTAACTTACTGACTAACTTCCCACATAGCACAATAGTATGAGGTAAGGTTATGTTGAATACTAATCGTAAGGCACATAAGGTTACACGATATTGCTGTGGTAGACCTAAGGTGAACTAAAAACTTCCGCCATGGAGGTGAGGTTACATGTTAGGGTGTGGTGACTATATATGATAAGGCCATGGTAACCTTACACGTTAAGGTTGAGGTAACGTTACATGTTAAGGTTGAGGTAAGGTTACATGTTTAGGTTGAGGTAACGTTACATGTTAAGGTTGAGGTAAGGTTACATGTCAAGGCTGAGGTAAGGTAATTATTAAGTTGTAAGGTTGAGGTAAGGTTGTGATAAGTTTACCAGTTAAAGAAAATATTGAAAAAATAATTAATAAATAAATATTCAATTAAAATGTTAAGTTTGTTGCTCTTCTCTATTTTGGAAACCTGACATGAAGCAGAAAATTTTGAAAACAAATTTAGGGGGACTGGGATTCGAACCCGAGATCGACGCGCATAAACCTATCATTCTAACTAACTGAGCTAAGTAGAGAACTGGCAGAAGGAAAATTAATGTTGCCTTTAAGGTGAACCAAGAAGATGATTAACTCCTTAAAGGCAACATTAATTTTCCTTCTGCCAGTTCTCTACTTAGCTCAGTTAGTTAGAATGATAGGTTTATGCGCGCCGATCCCGGGTTCGAATCCCAGTCCCCCCAAATTTGTTTTCAAAATTTTCTGCTTCATGTCAGGTTTCCAAAATAGAGAAGAGCAACAAACTTAACATTTTAATTGAATATTTATTTATTAATTATTTTTTCAATATTTTCTATAACTGGTAAACTTATCACAACCTTACCTCAACCTTACAACTTAATAATTACCTTACCTCAGCCTTGACATGTAACCTTACCTCAACCTTAACATGTAACGTTACCTCAACCTTAACATGTAACCTTACCTCAACCTTAACATGTAACGTTACCTCAACCTTAACGTGTAAGGTTACCATGGCCTTATCATATATAGTCACCACACCCTAACATGTAACCTTACCTCCATGGCGGAAGTTTTTAGTTCACCTCAGATCTACCACAGCAATATCGTGTAACCTTATGAGCCTTGCGATTAGTACTCAACATAACCTTACCTCATACTATTGTGCTATGTGGGTTACTGAATTAACTTAGTTGCTAACTAACTTACTTAACTCAGTTACTGACTAACTTACTTAACATAATTACTAACCAATTTACTAACTTACAAACTTAATTTTTAATTAACTTACTTACTTAACTTAGTTACTTACTAAGTTAGTTAGTAAGTTAGTAAGTTAATTCAGTTGTTAGTAATTAAGTTTGTAAGTTAGTCAGAAAGTTTGTTAGTATGTTAGTTAGTAAGTTAGTTATTAAGTTGGTTGGTAAATTAGTTAGTAAGTTAGTTATTAAGTTAGTTAGTAAATTAGTTGGTAAGTTAGTTAGAAAGTTATATAGTTAGTAAGTTAGTAAGCTATTGAGTAAGTTAGAAAGTTAGTTATAACTAACATAAAAATAAGTGTTAAATTTGTTGCGTGTAGTTTTCAGATGGTGTTGTTTTAACATAATTCTGGTGTTATTTTAACTCCATTAAAATGTATATTAATTTAACAACCTCTAGTGTTAAATAATTTAACACACTCTATTGTTATTTTAACACCAATGTAGTGTTAAAATCACAGTTTCGGTTAAAAATGTTTCATGTAGTTTTAACACTACTTTTAGTGTTAAAATAACACTTCTTCTTTCCTGTGTAGTTAGTTAGTAAGTTAGATAGTAACCAAGTTAAGTTAGTAAGTTAGTTACTAAGTTAGTAAGTAAGTTAGTTATAGTATGTTAGTAAGTTAGTTAATGAGTTAGTAAGTTAATTAAGTTGTTAGTAATTAATATTTAATATAAACATTGAATCATTTAAAACAACCGAGTGATAATATCATATAATAATTTTGTTAGTAATTAAGTTTTTAAGTTAATTAGAAAGTTAGTAAAGTAGTTAGTAAGTTAGTTAGTAAATTAGTTAGTTAGTAAGGGAGCATTCACAAATGATGTCACGTTTTTGGGGGGAGGGGGGGGGGGTCTCTACTAAACGTGACACAATGTATTTTTACAAGTGAAATTTCGTGACAGGAGAATCTAAAATCCCGAAAAATTGCGTGACATCATTTGTGAACGCTCCCTAACTTACGTCAGTAAGTTAATTAGTAATTAAGTTAGTAAGTTAATTAGTAAATAAGTTAGCAAGTTAGTTAGTAAATTAGTAAGTTAGTCAGTAAGTTAGTTAGTAATTAAATTAGTTAGTTCGTAACTAAGTTAATTTGTTAGTTTGTGAATTAGTTGTTAGTAATCGTTGGCTTGGTTTTGATTTGATGTAAAATTTCAGTCATATAGTAAAAAATAACACAAAAATGGATTATTTTAATCCTTTCTGGTGTTAATTTCATCTGTAACGCTTTTTAATACCTCACAATTTAATTTGATACATTTTCCGAACTAGGGGAAGACTCTGGCAAAGTATGGGCAAAGGCTGGAATCACTTTTTCCGAAATATATTATTACTTTTCTATTCAACATTATAATTATCGGTATTTTCCAAACTATCGAAAGAGTCTTGCAAAGTATAGGCAAAGACTGGATTCAATTTTTGTTAAATCTTTTACTTTTCTATTCAATTTTATAAATTTTCTGAAACATGGTAAGAGTCGAGCAAAGTATATGGGCAAAGGCTGGAATCGATTTTTTTAAATCTTTTATTTTTCTATTCAATTTTATTAATTTTCCGAAATATGGAACTTTTCGAAATATGGAATTTTAACTTTTCTATCAAGTTTTAAACATTTTTCGAACTATAGAAGAAGACTCTGGCAATATATAAGTATATCTCCATTCTGTTAGATACGATCGATTTTATAATAATTTTTGCCAAACTATATGCCCATTTTATAAAAATTAAAAAGAAACTTGTTACAAAAGCTCAAAGGTTTTTCAACAAATGATGATAACCATTTGCTATGCTTTATAAGATTTTGCCTATACTTTGAAGAATGAAAAAAATTATTGAGAAAATTTCGCAAAAAAGGAGAAAAATAATTCTAAAAATAAAAATTTATTGCTAACTTGTCGAGTGATCCTTGCAGCTGCTGAATATTCCTTAATAGCACCTGCGAGCCAATTAATTAAAATAACATTATAATTGTCATTATTCAAATAATTTGCACGCATTTCCCGAAGCCAAGGTGTCTGTACACTGTCGGTCCAGCCGTGAATTATTATTTTCGTCGGTATCGATGAATTAAATGACGAATCCTTCAAATTTTCCGAATCATTAACAATTAATTTATACGGTTCATCAGAATTTGATTTTGTGTATAATTGAAAGTTTATATCTTTCTCGGGTACAAGAATTGGATCAAGAATACCAGATAGAACTCCACGATCATCAGGTTTCAATACTGCAGTGTTTACCAAAACATTTAAAATTTTCTCTTCCAATGATGTATCTTGAGATGAATCTGGTTGTAGATTTGACAAAATACTTTCGGCCCATGATGTAAATATGAAAGAAACTTTGATAAAAATTGATTATTAATATTTTGCAAGATTTTTTGTTCCAGAACATATTTCGCTTTTTTCTATTAAAGAACATAATCTCTTTTTTTGAATAAATATATGTTTAGTGGGTTTTGATAAAGATTTTTAATTATTAATGCACTAGTAGAAATATTTTCAGTTTACCTAGAAAAATTTGAATTATTATCAATTTCATCTTGAATAAGAAGTAGAAAATTAAACTGAAGTTGAAGAAAAAATTTATAAAACTTTTGTACTCGGCAGATAGCGTGATTGATAACAATTTTTGTCATTATTTTTTGTCGAACGTAATGATCAGCATTATTTCCAGATGTAGTAAACAGTTTGTTTTTTCCGTAATTGGTTTCTTGGTCCAAGTTAGAATCATTTAGGAATTAATTAAAGACTAATTAAAGGATTAACTTATTTTATTTTTTATAATTTTTTGCTAACTTCTTCCACTTTTAATTATTTTATTTTTGCTGAATTAATTTTTTATTTTTATTTGACTAACTTATTTTATTTTTATTTAATTAATTTATTAATTAATTAACTTACTTACGTAACTAAATGATTCATTGATATAAAACATGTTCATTAGACAATTTAACAATATAGAGGATCATTATAGTCCTAATAAATCATGCTATGTACTTTTTGACAATTTTCACAATTGAAGTTAAAGGAAACAATTTTTTTCAGTAAAAGATTTTCATGCTCTGCTAAATATTGCGTGCAAATTGACCAAAGTTATTTAGAAGTGTTTTTACTTTATTACTACTTAACTTCATTAGATGATGAAGTAAGTGGAATTGCAATTAATAACTATTATACTTCTTGACAAGTTAAAATTTATATTATTTTTTTTTGCGCAAGGCAAGAAATCATTTCTAAGTAATTACAACTTGTTTTCTACATTCTAGATATTACGTCGTAAGTACTTTCCCATATTGGATAAATTTTTTATTTTTCGGATTTTACGGAACCGGTTCCGCAAATCATAACTGATTCTTAAAAAATTATAACAGTTCTGTAAATAATTTGTAACACTGCAGAGCATTGGCTCTTTTGCGACTTTCTCTTCTATCTTTTGAAGACTTTTTTGTTAAGGTACTTGAATAAAAATTAGTGAAAATATTTTCATTACTTCTTTATTCACTTACATTTCTAATTTCATTTCATTTCATTTTATTGAATAAATCCAACAGTCCTTAGATTTATTCTTTTTCTAAAAATTAATTACAAAAAGAATGTACAGGCTTAGAAAAAGAGGTTTTATATCACAAAATACTTGTACTGTTAGAAATTGTAAGACTTAAGAACACAAATACCGACAACGAAAACTTATATAATATCAAAAACCAACTCAAAAATCAGAGGATCGGAAAATTGTCCAACTTTTAACTTAACGGTAAACTAATCTTTTTAAGAACCAACTCACAAATCAGGATTGAGAAATTGTGATGAGAAATTGATCCTAATTGACAATCATATAATAAACTTTCATTCTTTAAAGAACCGACTCAAAAATCAAGATCAAGAAATTGTTCAACTTTCTTTGACAAGGAAAGATTTGTTGGCTTGACTCGGAGTTGTCGTTAACTTCAACACTTAATTAATTTGAAAACCGAACGATAGAATCATTATTATATTATTTTCCTTTGTCAATCTTATTACAATAAACTTTCATTTTTTTAAGACCTGACTCACAAATCAGGCTATGAAGAGAACTTACTCAGCCAGAAAGTTACAAGTTACTGTAAACTTTCAATTTTTTAACAACCGACTCACAAATCAGGCGATCAAGAAAACTTGTTCAACCTACTTTGTAATTATATCCTTTTTTGCATTTTTTTACTTCTTCTTCCTCTGATGACAGCAAAAATTTGTTGACATCAATAATTAGATTTGGCAATAAAAACCACTTCATTATTGTATCTTTCATGATGAACCAATATTAATCCGTAGTTTGCTGTCAAATCGGCAAGAAACGATTTCTCCTCTGGAGTTAAATTAAACGGTAAAACTGTTCTCATCACATTGTCATCATTTTTTAACGTTTTGCAGAGATTCTTAGCGGCGCTTATAAATTCCGCCCTTACTTCTCCTTCACCAGTAAGTGAATAACTATTATCGTTCAAACACTTCATTAAGGAATTGTACTCTGACTCTAAATTATTTGCCTGTGAGAAAAAAGAAAAGGATAATTTCTTGAAATTATAATTACATTTAACTTCAAAATTCCAAAAATAATCCAATTTTATAAGAGATGCGTTTACAATTTTTATAAATAACTGAATTTCAAATTTCAAATGGAAATTTTTAAAACTTTGTATTTTAAATAATTTTACATCAAAATTCCGCAAAAATAATTGAAATTTACAAGAATTGAGTTTACAATTTTTTATAAATAATTCAATTTCAAAAGGTTTCATATTGAAAGTTTTGAAACTATATTTTAAATAATTAATTAAATATTTGAATTTTATACAATTTGACTTATTCAAAAATCCATAAACAATTGAATTTTATGAGAGTTGCGTTTGCAATTTTCGAGTTTTATTAGTGAATTGAATTTCAAATTGACAGGAAATTTTGACATTTTTTATTAAAAAGTGTATTTTTTAAAAATAAAATTACTGCTGTTATTTTGTGAGAATAAATAGAAATATTTATTATATTTCATTAAAAAAGATCGAATCGCATTTTTGAATAATTTTAGATAGAGAAAAATTTTTAAAAATTTAATAAAATTCTTTGCACAAGATTCAATTATTTTCAATTCAATTTTAATTAAATTTGTAGAAAAAATTTGCAAGAATTCAATTATTTTCGTACAGATAATAAAATTCTTCACAGGAATTCAATTATTTTCAATTTCAATTTTATAATTGAATTCCTGAAAAGAATTTAATTATTTTCAAAAAATTTCCATAAAATTCTTTTAAAACAATTTAATTATTTTCAGAAATTTTAATAAAATTCTAAGCAAAAATTGAATTATTTCAGATTCAAAATTATAAAATGTTACAAAAATTACAAAAAGTAATATAAAAATTAATATAAAATGTTATAAAAATGTTATATTTTAAAATGGAAAAAATTTCACGTGGAATTGTCCAAATGTATAAAAGTACAAAAGAATATATAACAAAATTTACTTGTATCAAAAATACTACTTACTAATTTGATTTCCTCAGCAACCATTTTGTTTTGGGGTTCAAGTTTTTTGGAGCGCTTTAATTCTTGTACCGCTCTCTTAAATTCTCCCAAACGAATAAGAGCTCGGCCATGACTGAAATTTATTAATTTTTGAAAAAATGAAAACTACAAAAAAAAGTAAATGTAATACTTACTTGAAATGCGATTTGGCGTTTGGTATCGGAATTTGATTAATTGCCGAGCATGCACAGCGGGGTTTATTTTCTTTATTGTAACAAACGGCTAAATTTCCATAAACCCTCGTTAATAATGCTCTTTGTCTCCCTTCCTCCTCATCATTTCTTAATTGTGAATATTCAAGAATTTTTGCAGCGCTATAGTAACTAAAAATTATCATACAATTATTTTTAAATGTTTACATATAATAACGTTACAAGTATAAAAAAATAATTAATATTTTTAATTATTATTATACTCATTTTGTATTGAAGAAAAGTACAAAAATAATTAAAAATTGAAAGTGACTTCACTCGGAGTGATCGTTAACTTTTTAAATTATTTTTGACTGAGTGCTAAAAATTATTACAAAAATAATTTTTTGAACTATAAAACTTACTGCTTTATTGCTAGATTAAATTTATGTTTAGTAAAAGATTCAGAAGCTGTTGCTATTAAATCTGTCGCTCGTTTCTCGGCAATAGTGAATAATTTTCTTTCTTGAATTGATAATTTATTAAATGAAGTGGTAAATTCATCGGATTTAAAGTCAACAACATGAATTAAGAATAAAACTTCTTGATTTGGTGGAATGCGAGGAGGACAACCCATTTCACCAAACGCATATTCGGGTTTAATGATAAAAATTGAAACTTCATGTTTCTTCATTGACTTTATAGCAATTTCAAATCCTGGTATTAGATCTTGATTTCCTAATTGTAAATTATTTTGAACATCATGACTGTATGATGCATCGAAAGGTTCATCTTGATGTTCAAAATATCCAATATATTTTGCCGTTACTTGTGCGTTCTCATCAATTTTCTCTCCCACTCCTTCTTGTCGTGTAAATTTCATTACCTACAAGTTTTTTTTAAGTAAAAATTTAATAATTTGGTTTCTTTTTTTATAAAATGAATGTGTGTTTAATTTAACAACTGCTGGTTTTAATAAATTTTAGTTTGATAAGATTGGAATATTTGGTGGTTAATATTAAAAATATTTGGGTTATATTTTTAATTTCTACACTTACCATTCCATTTCCAAGAAGATCGGTCATATGTCCTCTTAATTTATTAAAGTCTACACCTAATGGCGTGACAACATCATTTTCATTCGTTTCGCCATTATTCATGTCATCCGTGTACAGAAATTTTAGTAAATCATCATGTGACATGAAAATTTTGTTCGAAAATTCAGGTTCGTCATTACTTTCAAGATCTTCATTTATATCAAAGAAGAATCCATCGTTTGACATTACGTCCCTAGTGAGTAATTAAATTATTAAGTTATATTCATCTCAAATTAAAAATCAGTCTATTTTTACCAAATTTTAAAAACTAACAGATAATTTGGATTGAAATAACTCCCCAAAGTTTCAATAGGCTTTATAAAATTGTTTATAATTTTAAAAATGTTTAAATTTTAACAGGAATTATTATTATTATTCATTAATTAACTATAATTATCGTCGTATTTTGAATTTTTCTTTATTACAATTTTATTATTCTTCTTCCATATTATACTAAGACCAACTTTATGAAAAATAAGATTTCAAAAATTAATTTATTGACAACTTTGAAAATAATTAATCGATTTAAAATTTTGACTGTAAAAGTTGAATTGTAAGAGAAAAATAATTGAAAAGCAATTTTTCAAAAGTTGATAAATCCATTTTTCAAAAATATTGAGGTAAACAAATATTTAAAATATTAAAATCCTTAGAAATCGATTTACCACTGTTTAATTTAAGAAAAAAATTTATTACCAAAGAATTTTCAATTTAAAAAATATTTTGGCCCAACCTTGATGATTTTTATTTTAAATTTTGTTATTAGAAAAAATTACAAAAACCTTTAAATTCCCTTATTAGAATAGATTTTAATTACAAACAGAGCTTTTTAAATAGAAAAAATATTCAAAAATAAATAATTTATTTCAATTTTTCTACATTAAAGTTCATTGTAATGGTTATGTGAGAATTGTCATTTGTTTAAATTTCTTGAAATGTCAAAATTTTGATTTATCAGGTTTTGAAAAATATTAAATGTAAAAGTATTTTACAATTTTGGGAGAAAATGCGAAAAAGTTGTTAATAGTAATAAATTATTTAAATTCCAATTTATATTTCATTTTTATTAAAAAAATTTGAATTACATTTTTTTAAATTCTATCTATTTTAAAATTCTTAACAAATAAATAAAACCTTAAATGAATAAACATTCATAAAAATGATTAAAAAAATAATGTATTAAAATTTCAATATCAAACAAGTAAAAGAATTTATTAAAAAATATGTTTTTTTAAATTTAATAATATAACGAAAAAAAACACCTTTATAGGTTAGCCAAACTTGAAAAATGAAACTTTTAAACTAAAGAACGCAGTTTTGCAACTTTTCAGTTTTTTTTATATCTCTTATTAAAGTTAATTCTGCAAAATTTGAAGATTAAGGGAATGCCAAAGTCGATGCAATTTTTACACTAAAGGGCAAAATCGCATCGATTTTTTGACATTCTCCTAATGATTAATGGTTAATTATTATATAACAATAAATGTTTTATTCAATAGATTATAATTTTTTATTTGTTTATATTAAAATATATTAGAGTGATTATATTTTTTTCTATATAACTTTAAAAAATCTTCTCGAATCTTCTAACATGTAACTTTTTAATCAGACTGTAGCGGTCGAGACATTCATTATAAGCGAGGTTAGATATCTTTACAAAAACAAAAAAAATTACCTCAAAACGAAAACAAATCGTAAACATTAGAATATAGGTATATTCGCTCTAAAAAAATGTCAAAATAAAACTATTTTACAAACTAGTAGAATAAATAGAAGTATATATAATACTTACGAAAGTTTAAAACCCTCTTTGAAACAAATTGTCTTAGGCATTTTGAACTTTTAAGACGTCGACCAAACCACGCCGGTGAGCCAACACGTTATGTTCTGGTTATGTTCGGTCGCTATAGTCTGGTTGTTATGGAATTACAGATAAACAGACTAAACAGTAAGCGAAACTAAAATGTGACGTCATCTTCGTATAAGTGACTTTAAATTAGAAATAAAATATCTCCATCGTCTTCAGTAGTATAGTGGTCAGTATCCCCGCCTGTCACGCGGGAGACCGGGGTTCGATTCCCCGCTGGAGAGAATTTTTTTTTAATCCTCACTTACAAATTCTTAGTACTTAACTTTTCTTTTATATAAATAAATAATTTTTTTCAAAATTAATATTATTTTAATAATAATATCTAGTACATCACATAAAAAAAATATCGTACTCCGTTTTAAATATATACCATGCAAGTCCATGCAATTATAAAAGAAATAAGAAAATATTTTTAAGGATTAATCGTTAATCCTGTATTTTATATTGATAAAAATTAAAAGTGTACATTACCTTTTATTATTATGATGCCAATGGTTGATTGCTCCTACCAGAATGATTACGATTTGGTTTTCTAAAACCTTTGAACTCCGTTAAATCGGAGATTTTTTTTATTAATTAAATAATTACGATTTGATTTTCCAACATAAATCCTGTTGTCGATGGTCCTTCTGCGACATCTGAAACAAAAAAAAAGTAATTTAAAAATCTGAATTCTCTATCTAAAAACTAAAATCCAGACTAAAATCGATAAAAATATTTAAAATAGTCGAAATTTAAAACAATTATTTATGAAAATAAGAATTTAGTTATTGTATCATTTAATCACAATCGTATAAAAAAATCAGAATATAATAAAAAAAATTTCCTTTTCAAAAGCTGCAAAACTTAAGCTTCCTTCATTTTTCTCGACAATAGTTTGAGAGAGTTGACCTTTCGTCTCTCTCGAAAGGAATACTACACTTTTCCAGGTGCGCAGTCCAATACTATATGCCGTTGTATCTATGCTGAAGCTGCTTTAGCCCTGAAACATGCCAGAAGGCTGCTGCTGTTAGACTATACAGAGAGACTACAATCCAGACAGTTGCCAAAATGGCGGCCGAAGGATCAGCAAGTGTTAATCCAAATGCGGAAATTGTTCGCGGTCAAATATTCGAGGTTGGCCCTCGTTATACGGGATTATCTTATATGGGAGAAGGAGCCTATGGAATGGTCGTGTAAGTTATTTGTTATTAATTTTTTCCCTGATAAATAAATACCCACAAGTTTGTATCTATGCAGTTTGACATGTCATATGATAAACAATTTAAATCAACACAAGTGTACAATTTTACACTTGTTATTCATAACTATTTCAATAATAAATCAAACATCATTGTAGAATGAAAAATTTTACCCTGTTATTTAAAATTTCTTTTAATTTAATGGAAAAAATTAATTTATTTTATTGGCGCCACTTTTGAATAGTTTGTCACACCCTTTTTTTATAACTAAAAAAAACATTAGATTCTATTTGAAACATTTTCAATCTGCGAACATTAATGATTCTCTATTTGTTGAATAGAGGGAAATTTGTATACTTCAGATTAATGAAATAAATCAAAATTTATATAATCAATAGGTATTAATTAACAGCAGTGAGAACTGACTAACAGCAATTCTCTTTTTTTAATTTTTGCTTTTTTTCTTGTACATTTTTAGTTGTTTTTTAGTTTTTCATTTAGAAGATAATTTTAAACCGAATTTTCTTTAAGCATTTATTGTTATTTATAGTTCGGCTTATGACAACACTACTAAAACAAAAGTAGCTATCAAGAAGATATCGCCTTTTGAACATCAAACGTACAGCCAAAGGACTTTAAGGGAAATAAAAATCCTCACCAGGTTTAAACATGAAAATGTAAGTTGGTAATTTTAAGATATGTTATATTTATATATTCTATTTCTTCTTTTAATATGAGGATTTACTTTTCAGATAATAGATATAAGAGATATATTGAGAGCACCCTCTATAGATCATATGAAAGATGTGTATATTGTTCAATGCTTAATGGAAACTGACCTTTATAAATTACTTAAAACACAGGTAAGGCATAAAGAACAAATTTCAGTAAACTTACTGAACCATTCTTCAGGGTAGTTAATAATAATTTTAATAATTCTTTTTATTATCAAAAAACAGGCAATAAGTAACGATCACATCTGCTACTTCCTATACCAAATTCTTCGAGGGCTCAAATATATACATTCGGCGAATGTATTGCATAGAGATTTAAAACCAAGCAATTTGTTATTGAATACCACGTGTGACCTTAAAATTTGCGACTTTGGTCTAGCTAGAGTCGCAGATCCAGATCACAATCATGCCGGCTTCCTCACAGAATATGTCGCAACAAGATGGTACCGCGCACCAGAAATTATGTTAAATTCGAAGGTGAATAATTTTAATTAACTTTGCACTACTTTTCACAGTCCAATAATGTAAAAACCTAGTAAATTACATTTGGCTTTAGGTTGAAGGACGATTAGCATCTTAGAGAATTTCGACCTTATGACAAATGCTCTTATTAGGTTTCTATACTTTGTACTGAATTGGGAAAAAATTTACTTAATTAAAAACTAATTTTAAGCGACATAAATATTATTTAAGCGAAATAATTATAAATTAGTACTTAAATTTATAATTATTTCGCTTAAACGAAACTAATAATGAGTTTTCATTTAAAAACGCAGGGTTACACGAAATCGATAGATATTTGGTCTGTGGGCTGTATTTTAGCCGAAATGCTATCGCGACGAGCAATTTTCCCCGGCAAGCATTATTTGGATCAACTTAATCATATTTTGGGTGTTCTTGGTTCACCGTCTTCTGAAGATCTCGGATGCATTATAAACGAAAAAGTATGCTACTATAATTATTAAATTTGTAAAATATAATATTTTTTCAGTTAGCTTTACTTACTTTAGTTTACTCTTAACATCTGCTATATGAAACAGAAATCAGAGTATCGAATAAGGAATCAAAACAAATTACATTTTAGGCACGCAGTTACCTACAATCATTACCATACAAACCAAAAGTTCCATGGACGAGTCTCTTTCCAGAAGCGGATCCAAAAGCTTTGGATCTTTTAGATAAAATGTTAACATTTAATCCCAATAAGCGAATAGTCGTTGAAGATGCATTAGCTCATCCCTATTTGGAACAGTATTACGATCCAGCTGATGAGGTTTCGTATCAAATTTTCAATATTATTGAACTAATATTATTATATAAATTATGATTCAAATTTTAAAAATATCTAAATAAATATTTATTTAAAATAATTTATGCTAACGATTATTTTTAGCCTGTGGCGGAGGAACCGTTTAGATTTGACATGGAGTTAGATGATCTTCCCAAGGAAACTCTGAAGAAGTACATTTTTGAAGAAACTATATTATTCCAACAAACTCATTAACAAGACTATATAGTCAATAGGTAATTATAATTTATTCTTGTTTATTATTAGTTCTAAGTTAAGATACAAAAAGAAAGAAGAAATATAGGTGCGATGAAAAAAAAGTCCGTTATACACTTGCCGCTTCGGTTGAGATACAATAACGAAGTAGACAGCCTACCATTTCAGCGCATGTGCTGTAATTCTTTCCCTTTAAGTGCATTTGAACCATTATCACAACATAGTTTTAGAACACATGCTTAACACAAATTGTGACGTCATAATGGTTCAAATGCCCTTAATGCTTTAAAAAAAAACTTATATAGAAGATAGAAAATCACTCTACAGGTCACAATTTTTTACCAAAACGATTTTTCTTTCTTTCTAAATCTTCGTAATTAAATTCTCTATCGATCTATCGAGCCCGATTTTTAATTCATTTTTAATTTTTAATATCAAGATGCAGGATGACTGAAATATATAGTGCGAAATGAAGCAACATGGACTCAAATTTGTTTACCAAACTATCTTCTGTTACCGAAAAGATGAGATACATTATTAAGGTTAGTTTATAGGTTGGCAATTAGCAAATTTTGAAATTTAGACACAACTGCGTGCCCCTTAAAAAAAGCAATACAAATTTTTTTTCTCTTTCTCTCTTTGATGAAAAACATATTTGTCTAGATTATTAAAAAAAAAGAAGAAAACTATTATTGTATAAATTAAGTTATATATATATATAAAAATCTTCCTAAAAATTAAAAGAGAGAAAATGTATTATTATAATCATCAATATTCGCAGTAAATACTATTCACTTCTACTGCTTTTTGATAAACAAAAAAAATTAAATTTTCAAATTATTACTTTTTTCAATGTTAAATTTTAAACAAAAAAAAGTATTTACGTCTAATTATAATAATTTTATCATTCTCGATGTGCGTGCGTGTGTGTGTGTGTGTGTGCAATGAAAATGTCAAAAAAAAAACAAAAATCACCAAAAAAAAATTTTAAAAATACAATCATTGAGAGATTGTATTATAACTTCTTTATAGTTTTTAAAAAGAAAAACAAATCGATTTTTATTTTAAGATTGATGCACTTTTTTATGTCGAGGAAAAGAAAAAAGATGCGGAGAACTTTATAATCAAATGAATCAAATAATATAGTTTATTCAAAAAAGAAAAAGAAAAACTGATAAATTATGTATTTTTTCTGTTCTATTTATCACAAGATCTCAAGAATAATGTGAGCACAATAGTTGAAAAAAAAAAATTAGAAAAACAATTTTGTTTATAATTAAAGACGTATATTCAGTGACAATTTTATTATCGTACATTTCAGCTTTGACTGTCTTGATGGAAATGTGTAATAAATTATTTGCACGTTTTTCAAAGTGTATAAATAATTAAAAAAAAAATAATAATAACATCGTCAAAAATTGATACACTTAAAGTGATATTATCGTCTACCCAAGTATTTATATTTAAAGTGATGTGATTTCTTCATTAAATGTTTTGGTATAATATTAATTATAATAATAAGAATAAAAATAAAAATAATAATAATAATAATAATAATAATAATTCACCGAAAAAAAATGTATTTGATTCAAGTAAATATTTATTTGATAATAAACGGTTATTTGAATCAAATACATTTTTTTCAGTGCAATAATAATAGTAATAATATTATTATTAAATATTATTATTATTAATAATAATGATAATAATAAACAATAATAAATAATAATAATAATAATAATGGTTGAATCTATGTAAATAATTCATTTGATACTGCCATATTTGAGTATAATGATGTTAATAATTATGCAGCGTGCACGGTCAATTTTAATTTACTAGTCGTTACATTCAATTTTAGTGCCAATCTTCCAGGTTTAAAATTTATATTTATTTTAAAACAAAAATACTTTAAATATACTTGACACATAATATTAATACTATAAATATTTAAGAATTATTTATCTTTTTTTTCCATGTATTTAAAAATTGATCAGGAAAATTAATTTCTGTATAAGCATTATTTATAAATCAATTCTAAATTAAACTTTCAAATTGATCGTCGATTCGATAAATAATAAAAAAAATATTGTAACCAAAGAAATTGTTAAGCAAAATAGAAAAAAAGAACCGTAAGAGCTAAAATATATTCATCTTGATGATTATATTATTCTATTTCTATTTTTCTTTCGGCATAATATAACTGTGCACGTTGTTTATATTATGTAAATGTAGTTCGTCTTTTTGAATGTTTCAAATTATTGAGATATATCTTTCATTCGAAAAAAGCAAAAAAAAAAGTGAAAAAAATCCATGTTTTTTGGAAGCTCTTACGGAGTGTGCTTTTTAATAATAATAATAATGATAAAAATATTGTAATTTCAAATGAAAAAAATGTAGTACACAAGAAATAAAGTAGTAAACTTGGCTAGAAGAGTGGAAAATAATTTTGGCATTAAATATTTTACTCTGAAAAAAAGTATTTAGTAGCGAATATAAATGGTACAAATATGCCTTTTCAATGACATGATAATATGTGTTATACTCAGAAAACAAGTATTGATTGCAAAAAGAAAAAGGAAAGCATTATTATGTAAATAGTGTATGATTTATTTGGATTAAATGACAAAAGGCACTCACCCATTAAAAACCGCATAATGTTTCACATTGTAAAATAAATTTACTAAGGAAATAAAAAGAAAATACTAAAAGAGTTTTTATGGCGAAAAAAGCAAAAAATTCTACAAAATTCCTTTTTTCTGACTAAAATGAAAAGAAAAAATTAATTATAAAATAAAAAAATATAAATATATTAAAGTAGATTCGTTTATTTTGTTGAAAGTTTTTAGATATTATGCTTAACTTGAATTTAAATGTTTAGATAAATAAAAGGCATGTTCTTATCGTAGGAAACCAAAGTTAACTTTGTATTATGTAAATCATTATTTAAAAAAAGCTGAAAAAAATATTTAAAATTATTTAAAACGGGTAAAATAAAACTATTCTTCAGCATTGCCAATATTAAAATTGATTCTTATTTTTTTCTTTTAAATTACTTTCTTCAAAATTTGCATTTTATTCACAATTTTTAATATATCTTTACTTTAAAAAAAACAAAAACAAAATAATAATAAAGAAAACATGATATCAAAAATATTTAAACTAACTTTACACTGGAACTCCCAAGAGAGTCACTCGCAGAGTCTAATGTGACTCTCTAGGAGAGTGACCTTGACGCTACAAAAATTAAAGGCCGTAAGGTGTACGAAAATATGTATATTAACCTGAATTTATATAATTATCTTTTAAAATAACTTTTGAATACTTTGATTTAATTAACTTTGAAATACGTGTTTTCATTAAAACAGAACTTTATTAAACAATACATAATTTAATTGTTTAATGAAAAATTAATAATTTTTAAAGAGGAGCATATGATTATTTCCCAAATGTCATTTGACCGAACTGTCATTTTACCGAATTGCATTTATCCGTACTGTTATTTTAACAAAATGTCACTTTTGCAAATCGCCATTTTTACGAACTGACACTTTTGCAAAATATTATTTTTACGAATTGTTATTGTTCCGAAATGTCATTTTTTCGAATTGCCATTTTTACGAAATGTCACTTTTGTAAATCACCATTTTTACGAATTGTCACTTTTGCGAAATATCATTTTCACGAATAGTTATTGTTCCGAAATGTCATTTTTTCGAATTGTCATTTTTTTCGAATCGACATTTTTACGAATTGTCACTTTTGCGAAAAGTCATTTTTTGCGAATTTTCATTTATGCGAACTGACATTTTTTCGAATTGTCATTTTTACGAAATGTCACTGTTGCGAATTATATCATTTTTGCGAAAATTGATATAGTAAACTTGTATGCATAATATAGATTTACTATAGCAATTTTCGCAAAAATGACAATTCGCAACAGTGCCATTTCGTAAAAATGACAATTCGAAAAAATGGCAGTTCGCATAAATGACAATTCGCAAAAGTGACAATTCGTAAATATGTCGATTCGCAAAAATGACAATTCGAAAAAATATCAGTTTACATAAATGACAATTCGCAAAAATGACTTTTCGCAAAAGTGACAATTCGTAAAAATGTCGATTCACAAAAGTGACATTTCGTAAAAATGACAATGCGAAAAAATGACATTTTGGAACAATAACTATATTCGTAAAAATGACAATTAGTAAAAATGATATTTCGCAAAAATTACTTTTCGTAAAAGTGGCAATTCGTAAAAATGTCGATTCGCAAAAGTGACATTTCGTTAAAATAACAGTTTGGATAAATGCAATTCGGTAAAATGACAGTTCGGTCAAATGACATGTAGGGAATAATCATACGCCTCTTTGACTCTCTTCTGGGAGTTCCAGTGTATTTTATTCTTTTGATAAAAATTTTTTTTTCTAAACTCTAGAAAAACTTATCGCTGTTTCCAGTGAACTTTCTTTTGCGTATAATTGATAAAAAAAATTTACTATATAAGAACTTTAATTTTTTTAATTTATTATGTAATTTTTTAATTACACTTATTAGTGTATTGTCGTTGTAAATGTCTTGGAAAAAGATTGATTTTCATTTCAATAGAAAATGTAGATTGAAACTAAAAAAGTCCCGCTTAAATCTTGAAAAGTAGAAAATATTCTCAAAGTGACAGTTTGTGGTAATAAAAATAGACTGTATTTACACCATATACGACCGGTACGTTCCTAACTGTAAGGAGAAAAGACAGCGCAAGCGCCAAAGTGGAAAGGCGAGAGACAGAGAAAGACTCCAAGTTCTCTCTTACTCTCACCTACCCCCACTCTGGGACTTCTGAGCTTCGCTCGGACGCACTAGTTACATCAAACAATAATTCCGATGTAAATACATTCAATAATGAGAATCACTAATGACTTTAAACACAGTACTATAATTGTACTATACTAATATACTGTGTTATCAATATTATCAATATAATCAGGCCTAATCTACTTGTTATAATTCATATCTTACATCAGATATTAAAAAATATTTCATCTCCATTTTTTCATGTTAAATATACGCGCATAATTAAATAAAAACAGAATAATTATCGTGTGTTAAATTGATTAATAATGAAGTCGAAAATAAACGTTTATAAAAAGACTCGTCTTCATATGTGAATGACAAGACTGATGATAAATCTTTGACAAAAATATATATGTATAATTACCACTATTTGTGTCTCATGTCAAAGTCAGTCTAAAAGTTATTGAAGTTTTTATGATATATATTGTATAGAATTCTTAAATATTCTTCAAATTAATAAAAAAAACTGCAAAGTTAGAAAAAATCTATGTGGATAATTTTAATAAAGAATTGTGTAATAATTGGCTAATGAAAAATGTCTGTTTTGCTTAAAATTGGAAAACGAGTGGGAGAAGCGGTTCCCCCCCACTACTCTACAGCAAAGACGCTATAAGTGGGGGGGGCGCTTCTCCCAGTCGAGTGTTCAATTACAGGACTGCTATATTAAAGAAGACGAAATTAAAAAAGTAGTCTTAAAAATTTGTCTCTATTTGTTATAGTTACTGAAAATAATTGCCGAAAGATAAAAGAGAAAAAAAAACGATGAAAGAAATTGAATAAAGTATCTCAATAAAAAAATTACAACCCCTCCAATCATAAAGTTATCAAGTTTGTGATGACTGGAGGGGGGATAATTTTTTCCAACATTTCTCCATTTCGAAGTTATTAAAAACTTATTAAACTTCATAATGAATGTTGATATTAATGGTATATAATTTTCTAAAAACATAAATTGTGCATACATTTTCTTTTCAATGTTATTAAATTTATTTAATATATACATTAAATAAATTAAATAAATTTATTTATCAAATAAAATTTTAAATAATTGATTGTTATTAATTTTAATTAGTTGTTTATTATTAATTTCAATTAATTGTTTATTGTTAATTTCAATTAATTGTTTATTATTAATTTCAATTAACTATTATTAATTTCAACTAAATATTTATTATTAATTCAAATTAATAAATTTATTTAAAAATAAATACATTGAAATTAAACTATACAATTGCACAAAAGTGTATATCAATAATATAATCAAATTATTTTGTGTGTTACTAAAAAAAGGACAAAATGTGACTAATTCATAGAATATTGCGTAGAGTAAATTTTACAAGTGAAAATTGTTTATTACTAAAATACAAATTGTTTATGTTAAAATGAAATGCGATACATAGTTTTTTTCTTGATTCATAAATGTGCCAAATGATTTGTATATTATTGCAGAGGTACTAAGTTTAATTTATCATTATGTATAATGTGTATACTAATGAGAATAGTTGAGCGAATTTCAAAAATATGTTTTCTTATTTCAACGACCGGCACAATTTATATTTAGTTATATATATACTTATTTAAAAAAATAATAATTCAAAACGAAAAAATTGTAAATGTATCACTGTACGCTTTAATATACATAATTATAATGAAAATTCTTCCAATATTTAATTTTTTTACTGAGATTTTTTTATGAAAGTTTTTTAAAAAATTAATTTTTAAAATATTTTTTTTATTTTTTAAAATTTTATCAAACTTAAGAAACCTTGAATTCTTCTTGAATTTTTTTTTGCACTTATAAGTACTTTTAAATCCCAATATGAATTCTAAAACAATATATTTTTTTGTGATTCAGTAAATAATTTTTTGAGAATAACTTTCTTCATAATAATAATTATAATTAAGTTAGAAAAGAATTTAGTTCAAAACTTAAAAAAAAGTTGCAATTTTTAGAATTAATTAAATTTCAGAACTAAAACTTTTGAAAGTTTAAGTTTTTAATCGAATAGAAATTAAAAATAATTGATTATGTAATTAAAAAATTATTCAAGTTTTAAAAAATTTTTATGTAAAATTCTTAAAAATTAAGTTTTGTGAGAAATAAGTCAATTTTTTAAAAATGCTTAAAATTTACAAAATGTTTTACTAAAAAGTATTTAAAGTAATTTAATTTTGGGAAAATAAATTGAAAATAATTGAATTTTTTAAAGAATTTCATTAGAAATTCAAAATAATAATAATTTTATAATTATAAAAAAAATTGACATTAAAAATTGTCATTATTTTTATTATTTAAATGTAATTGAAATTTTATAACTAAGTAATTCAGAAATTTTGAAATTATTAAAATAATTTAAATAATTAAAAAATAATTAAAGTAAAAAATCCTTAATTTCCTAACAAAAATAATTGCATTTTTTTAAAAGAATTTTATTGAAATTTTTTTAAATAATCTCGGGAAGTTAGCCACAGTAATTATTTTATGCAACTCAAGCGCATACTAAGTTCCCCATTATAACCCAGCGATCAATAAAGTTCCCATTATTGCCCTAGGCCAAAAAAATGTAGTTTATTGATGGATCGTAGGTCAATAAAGTACCCATTATTAGTCTAGGGCAATAATGGACACTTTTTATCAACCGCTGCTCACAAGTCAATAAAGTGGCCATTATTTCCCTCGGGTAATAATGAGTACTTTATTAACCGCTACTTACAAGTCAATAAAGTGGTCATTATTGCCCTAGGACAATAAAGTGTACTTTATTGTATGTATACTTCATTGATCGCTCGCTGGTCAATAAAATACCCATTATTAACCTAGGGCAATAATGGACACTTTTTATTAACTGCTGCTGTCAAGTCAATAAACTGGCCATTATTGCCCACAGGTAAGTAAAATACCCATTATTGCCCTAGGTTAATAATGGATAATTTATTGACCCTAGTTACCCTAGGGCAATAATGGACAGTTTATTGACTTGTCAATAAAAAAGGGTTAATAAAAGTTGTTAATAAAAAGTGTCCATTATTGCCCTAGGGTAACTAGGGTCAATAAAGTATCCATTATTAACCTAGGGCAATAATAAACACTTTTTATTAACTGCTGCTGACAAGTCAATAAAGTACTCATTATTACCCTAGGGAAATAATGGACACTTTTTTGACCAGTTGGGTTATGAGGAGGAAAAAGACAATATTCTGACTGAAAATCAGGGAAAACAAAATCAAATTTTTTTGTGTCAAGATTCTAAAATATTTCAGTTTAATCAATTTTAGAAAAACACAAATTTGTATATAACTATTGTATGTATATTTTTTTTTGACATTTTTGTAGAAAGTACATTTTTACATTATTATTATTATCATTACATATCTGTAGATTATGTGGATGAAATGGTAAGAAATTGTTTACAAGAAAATTTCCATCGGTTGATACAAGTTAAAGATGCATAGCATGAATTATATTGTAAAGAAAAGAAAAACTGTTATTTATAAATTGGAAAAAACCCAAAAATTGTTAATTTTAAAAGAAGGAAGAAACGGGATAAATTTATTAAATTCCTATAATAAGTAAATTTAATCTGAACAACTGTTATCCTCAGCGCATTTATCATTTTTCACTTCTATTCTCAATGGTGAACGGCCTTTTGTTCTCGAATGACTGCCGAGTCGGGATCTTAAATCGCCCCTTAATGTTTCTCTCAAGTCCCTTCTTGGCGTTTGTCTTGAACTGTAAAGTTAATAACAAAATTAATATGAAAATTAATAGTAAATAATAAAATTAATAATCAATAAATATTTATATACCATTTAATGCGAGAAGTGAGTATATTTATTTTTTATTTGTTCCCATTTTTTATTTCTATTTATTAGGTTTCTGAAGTTAGCGTCGACGCTAAAGCGTCAAAAAAAGGTTTTTCTTCTACGCAACCGAAAGAAATTAAACAATTTTTCCAAACATCTTGAGTTACTCAACAAATTACTCAACAAATTTTGAGTTAAAATCAAATCAAAAGAAATATAAAGAAAAAAAATGAAATATTTTTATTTTTTTTTTGTAGGATAAAATTTTAACGTACCTGTTGTTTACGGCTTTTACTTCACTTTTAACAGCGGTACGATGTAATCTAGTCCAAACAGTGGATGCAATTTGTGGTTTACGTGGCACAACCTTGATTACACTTCCTTTTGGACCTCTCACTTCTTTCTCGGATATTTCATCATCTTCTTCTTCTTCTTCTTCCTCTCCTTCTTCATCATCGTTTTCATCATTATCGCTTTCTTCGCCGTCCTCCTTTTCAGTTTCCTCGTCCTCCTCATTCTCCTCCACTACATCTTCAACTTCACCTTCCTCTTGCTCTTCAGCAATATTTTCAACCTCTTGTTCCTCACCCTCAGACTCGAGAATTTCACCTTCCTCTTCCTAAAAATAAATTTCCCTTTTAAAAATATTAATCCATTAGGATTCAAAATTAAACAAAAGAATAAATTAATAAAAACTCCATACCTCCGAGAGATGTGCTCTTGTATTTTCATAATTCGTAATTACAATCTGAATCGCATCTCGTACAGGTTCCTTTTTCACTTTACCGAGTCTCGATCTTAGGTCACTTTGAACATTATGGACCTCCTAGATAAAAAAAAAAAAGGTTCAAAAAGAATGTTGTAAATTATAAATTATTTATGTTATTTATTACTTTTTCAGGTGAGGAAAATGGTTTAATTTCTCCACTTGAGAACGCCAGAATCGTCACCAGATGGCGGGAAATCTGGCCATCTAACGGTGACCTTGGCGTTCGCAGGTGGAGAGTATCATTTCCACTTTTAATCCGTCCCATTGCCCTTACGTCGGTACTATGCAAGTTGTTTGAGAAACTTATTCAGTCCAGATTGGAGCATGAAATGGAGAGTAGGGGTTTGATTTCCATACATCAATACGGGTTTAGAAAGAGAAGATCAGCAGTAGACGGGGTAGCTACTTTTGTAGCTGATACCATGAACGGTTTTACCAAATCCTTGAACACAGCGGCCATTTCAATAGACATAAAGGGAGCATTTAATAATGTTCGACCAGCTATTCTTAATAGGATTCTCAACGATTTTAATTTTCATCCATGTATAATAAATTTTATTACACATATAACAAACAAACGATATATTTCTTTTAAACCAGATGGCTCGGATGCCAGGACGTGCGCGGTGGGAGTTCCACAGGGTGGGGTTTTATCACCTCTGTTGTTTAACCTGTACTTACATGACATTGAAACATACCTCCCACATAACATGAAACATATTATGTATGCAGACGACCTATTGATTTATATTAGGTTTGACAAAAATGAAAATATATCAGAAGATTTATCTGCAGCTATTAACAGCCTGTCGGAATGGCTCAGAAGCGTTGGTTTGGATGTGGCTCCATCGAAAACGGTTGGATGTATCTTCACTAGGTCCAGATCTTCTTTTGATAATCTACGAGTGGTAATAGGGGGTAATACTGTAGTGTTTTCTGACAACATGAAACATTTGGGTGTTTTATTAGATCGAAAACTGATATGGACTCCACACATTAAAATGTTGGCTGATAAGGCCACTAGAGCCTTGGGTATTTTAAAGATTGTTTCCCGAGCAACCTGGGGTACATCCCCAACTCTCGCTCTTATGGTCTACCGTAACCTTATTCGTGCCATTTTGGACTGGGGCTCTCCTCTCTTCATGCATGCTTCAAACACAAGCTTGAAGCTGCTTGATCGAGTTCAATCAGCCTCTTTAAGAACTGCCCTGGGATGTCTCTGTTCGACCCCCATACCGGTGCTTCTTTCTGAGGCAAATGAGCCTCCCCTTTATCTCAGAAGACTAACTCTGATTAACTCTTTCATAGGCAGAAATTGTATATGGAGAGGCAACCCACTTTCGGAGATTTTACAGGAGTTAGTAACTAATTCAGAATTACCTACATGTAAAATTAAAAAAAAGGAAAATATTCCTTTAAGTAATGAATTTGCTCGTTTGTTACCGTTGATAGAGGGATGCGACCGCACGCAAAGGCCGGCTTACTTTGATTGGTCTTGGAAGTCACTTTCTCAGGATGTAGCCACTGATACCTTTTCTGGTAAACGCCTGGAGGCTCTGGATCACCCTGAATCTGGGCTCCGGGAACTCCTGGCATCAGATTATGGGAATTATGTACCGATTTTCACTGATGCATCTTTGAACCCTAAGACAAATCTTGCAGCCTCAGCCTTCCATGATAAACTTAATAACTACACACAAGGTACACCTTTGCAACCATTTATTTCGATTATATCTGCTGAACTTCATGCTATATACTCCGCAATTGTTTATGCTATAAACACGGGCCTTTCCCAGGTCCTTATTATATCTGACTCACTTTACTCAATCAATAGAATTAATAATAGTTTACTTTTTAAAGATAACCCGAATTTAGTTTATAAAATCCGTCAATTGATTTTTCCTACACATCCTACTATACATAATACCACTTTCAAATTCTTGTGGGTTCCCTCCCATTCCCAAATAGAGGGTAACGAATTTGTTGATGGAGTCTCGCGTGAAATTAACAAGGGCCAAAACAGGGTTTATATAGGACCTTCTTGGTCGGACTTTAAAGAGATGGTCCTTGTCCCGGACAAATTAGCATGGACAAGAAGTCTTTGGCCCTACACGGATAGGGATTTGACGGGACACGGATACTTCTCGAGAGTTTCATACAAGTCTAAAAGACCCTGGTTTGAGGACTTCTCTTTACCAAGAAGCTGGATAAATATTATAACCAGACTTCGTTCGGGTCATACATTTACTTCTAACCATTTTGAAAGAATGAATTGGAATAGGGAAATGCACTGTGACTGTGGTGAGGACAGACGATCATTGGACCATGTCATTACCTCTTGTCCGATATTGGCCCCGGCACGTGTGAAATTGATGCAATTTTTTTTTTTTTTTTTTTTTTTTTTTTTTTTTTTTTTTTTTTTTATTAACCAAAATGATCGAGTTCCCAATCCGGATTCAATAACCGATCTGGCATTTGAACCTAATGAAACAACTGTCAGGGAGCTGGGACGATTTTTCACATTTGGCGGGAAATTTATTTAAAAGACATTTACTTTGTCAACCAATTTCGTAAAATTTGCATAATATTGATCTCTGACCACAGTGTGACGACGACCCGACTTAACAATTACTTTCCTGAAACATCATTCCATGACATGACAATATCGAATCTCAAAATATATCCAACAACAAATACCATCTTCAACGCCTCCTGGAGACCTGGACTGACAACCCGGACTTCCATCTGATGTGGATTTGCGACTCGCTCTTTCCAACTCTCTGACATAAATAAAGAGCATGGAAATCGTTTCTAGAAAGTTATATGCACATTGGCACACCAAATATAGACATAGTAATCGAACTCTACTTTTATTCTTCTTTTTAGTGTTGTTCTGACAGTTGGCAAAGCCTTAAGTCATTTAAGAAGAAGAAGAAGAAGAAAAAGGAGCTTTCCAACTAAAAAAAAGTAATAAAAAAGTAGCTATCGAAAAATTAAACTTGAAGATGTATATTTTATATTCCTACCTTTTCCTAATTTTCATCAAAAATATTAACTTCTTTCTTATCATGCTAATAAATTGAATTCCTGCAACGAATTTTATTATTCATGAAAGAATTTAAATATTTATAAAAATAATTTAATTCTTACGAAGAATTTTATAAAATTTTTAAATAATTGATTTCAATTATCCAAATTCTAATTTAAATAATAATTGAATTCCTAAGAAATTTTAATATTCATGCGAAAAGAATTGAATTCTTATGAAGATTTTTACAAATTTTTTTTTTAAATAATTGAATTCTGTTTGGAAATTTTATTAAAATAGTTATTTTATTAAAATTCAATGATTGAAAATCATTGAATTGCGAAAAGTTTTTAAAAATAATTCAATTTTACAAAGAATTCTATTAAAATTTTTGGCAATAATATTGAATGTCTGTTTGGTATTTTATTAATTTTTTTTTGAAAATAATTGAAATCCTAAAAAGCATTTTATTATTTGTGAAAACAATTGAATTCTTGTGAATAGTGAAAGATTTTATTAGAATTTTTTTAAATAATTAAATTTCCAAGAAAAAATTTATTATTTTTAAAAATAATTAAATTCTTATGATGAATATTGTTATTTATGAAAGGAATTGAATTTTGCAAAGAATTTTATTAAAATGCCTGAAAATAATAGAAATTTCAGGAATTAGTTTGTTATTTATCGACATACAAAGAATTTAAGAGAAAACATTTTTTTAAATAATGGATTTTTTCGAGGAATTGAAATTAAGTTTTTAAGAATAATTACATTTTTTGATCAATTCTTGTAAAAATGTATTAAAAATAATTGAAATCCCGCGATGAATTTTATTATTTATGAAAATAATTGTATTCCTGAGAAGAATTTTATTATTTATGAAAATAATTGAATTATTGCGAAAAATTTTATTAAAATGTTTAAAGAGAATTAAATTTCGGTGAAAAACTTTTCATTTTTGAAAATAATTGAATTCTTCATAAGAATTTTATGAACATTGTTTTAAATAATTGTTTTCGAAATATAATAAATATTATGAAAATTTTATTTTAAATAATTGAATTCTTGAGGAAAACTTTATTTGTGAAAATAATTGAATTTTTTTATTAATTAATTTAAAATAGTATTATAAAATTAATTGAAAATCTTCAATGAGTTTTATTATTTACAAAAGTAATTGAATTCTTGCTTAGAATTTTATCAAAAATTTTTTAAAAAAATTTAATTTTCATGTAAAATGTTATTATTAACGTGAAAGTAATTGAATTATTGTGAAGAATTGTATAAAACTTTTTTTTAAATAATTGATTTTATCGAAATTTTTTTGAAAATGCTATTCTAAATTAATTGAATTCTTGTGGAAATTTTATTATTTATGAAAATAATTGATTTATGGATGAATTTTATCAATTTTTTTAAATTCAATTAGGTATTTTCAAAAAATATTCGAAATTCAATTATTTTCAATATCTAGTATTTTCATAAAATTTCGCAAAAGAATTCAATTATTTAAACAAAAATTGATCAAATTCACCCGAAATTCAATTATTTTCATAAATAATAAAATTTCTTCAGGAATTTAATTAATTTAGAATAGCATTTTCAAAAAAATTTCAATAAAATCAATTATTTAACAAAATTTTTATATAATTATTTACAATAATTCAATTACTTCCACTAATAATAACTTTTACATGGAAATTCAATTTTTTAAAAAATTTTTTAATAAAACTCTAAGCAAGAATTAAATTATTTTCATAAATAATAAAACTCTTTGAAAAATTTCAATTATTTTTATAATACTAATTTTAAATTAATTAATCGTTTTAAAGAATTTGATTATAATTTTTCAGAATTATTTTATGATTTCTAGTATTAACGAATTTAAAGTAGTGGAAATTCTAAAAAAAAAGCAGAAATAGTAGTTTTTAGTGGATGGAATCTAAAAAAGTACTCAAATAGTAGCATAACGTAAAAAGAGCTGTAAATAGTAGGTTTTAGTAGATGAGTGCGAAGTCTGCATAGGAAAATATTTTCCAACCTGTATGCGTTGTTGATGACGACGTTTTTTAACTTTCGCCTCCTCATCATCGGCACGCATTCGCATTCGTGGTATTTTACTTTTTGTGAACCATTCCTCCTCACTGTCACTGCAAGATTCACTTTCATCTGATTCTTCCGATTCGGGCAATTGCTCTTGCTGTCTTGTTGTTTTCAAACCCAATCTCTCTTTGATATGCGACGACTGCTCTACGAATGGTTGTTTGCGAATAAAATCCTCCTCAACAGTGTCGCCGACACCCCAATTTTGCGACAAATCACCCCATGGATTCTTTTTCACATTTGCTTTCATCTCTTCATCAGACGAATGACCTTTCACTTTCTTTTTACTCTGTGTTGTTTGTCTGTACGTTCGTTTTCTCGATTCCGTTAAAATTCCCTTAACACCTGAAAAATTAGTTAACAATTAATTTACTAAAAGTGATCATTTTCAAATGGTGACAAGTTTTTTCTAAGAATATCAAATTGAGACAAGAAACGAATCAAAAGTGTTGCGAAGCAACATTTTGATTCGTTTTTTGTCTCAATTTGATATTCTTAGAAAAATTGTGTGAAAATAAAAAGAAGAAGAAAAGAAAAAAAGAAAAATACCTCCAAAGTTGGGATTTCCATATTTCTTGTAATATTCGCTCATTTTTTCAGCGCGTGGTTGTTTCTTATCACTTTTAGTGGCGAATCTCATGAAAATATCCTTTGATTTTGAATTAATAATTCCCTTTCTCCAAATTCCGGGCGGTAGAGGATAATCAATATCCTTCAAATGAATTTCAGTGTCGTTCGAACTTTTTAAATTATTGTATTCATCGAAATTTTCTTCATCCTCTTTAGTGGGACAATCGGCATTTGTTTCATTAGATGTGACCGTTTCGGGTAAATTTCGATTGCTTATTCCTATTATTTTTTTTGACAAACCAACTAAAGCCCTTGCGGCCGATGCAGAATCTAACCAAACAACATTGCCTAAGGGAAAAAAATTAATCAATTTCTTCAATATATCAAAATAAATAAAGATAATAATAAAATAATATAAGGGGAAAAAAATTATTCAATTTATTCAATATATCAAAATTAATCAAGATAATAAAAAAAATTGATAAATAATGATAATATTGAAATAAATATATAAAGGGAAAGAATTAAATTAAATTCTCACACGAAACATCATTGATCCATTCTAAAGAAGCGGGAGCATAATCTTCAAAATATTTAAATACATCTTTTGTACTCATTTCATCAGTTCCTCTTATATGCAAGACATTGAGACGGAAATTTTTTGTATTTTCATTTTCTTCCGTTATTCCCATGCTGTAAAATAATTACAGAGATTAATTTAGCTGAAGGCTAAATATTGAATATAACTTCATAGAAGAAAATAATTTTTACAGAATAAATAAACAATTAAATCATCAAATTTGATAATTTCTAATTATAGCGGCAAAAAAGAAGTAGAAAACTTTTCTGCAATATCAAACATTAGAAAAAAGAATAAATAAATTACCTATTATACAAATCTTGATACTCTTGTAAACGCGAAAAAATTTGTTTATCATTTAATCCAAATCGTTTAGCACGTTCTTCAATTTTTTGCTTTCCCTCATCGCTAAAAATGTCTATTCCAGTTAAAAAGGCACCAGCTCTATTTTCATATCTTGCTTCCGGTTGCTGTGGATTTTAAGAAAAATTATCATTTATTTCACTTTCAAATTTTTTGAAAACAGAAATAAAATAAAGGAAATAAAAGATTTAAAGTAAAAAAAGAAATAAAATTAAAAAAATTATAGATTACAAATTATTAAATTATTAAATTAAAAAAAATAAATTACATATTAATTTTTTAAAAATCGGTTTATTCCAACCAATCGGTTTATTTTTTTAACATTCGTAACAGAAAATAAAATTTACAATATGAAAAATATAAAAATTTTAAATAAATAAATCCAATATTAATTCATAAATAAATAAATAAATATTAATATCTAACCAAAAAATTAATAAAAAAAACATTCGTCAGCAAGTGAACGATTTACCCTTCAAACGTCAGAGAAAACAGAGTTTGGAATCAGAACTATAAAATAAATTAGAATCGAAATTATAAATAAATAATTATAGAATGAATAAAATAAAATAAATTATTCAAATTAAATATTTTAAATTTTAGTTACAATAATTAAAATAAATAAATTAAGTTGAGATTAACATACCTATAAAAAATTAGAAATATCTAATTTTATAATAAATAAATATTAATTTTAAAATTTAAATATTAAAATTACAGTTAAATAAATTAACACTAATTAACATTGACATTATAATAACACACAACAGAAAAGTTAAAAATGTACTCAAATAAATTAAAATAAAATTTAAAAAAACTCAAAATTAAAATTGAACTCCAAAAACTATCGATTCTGTACATCAATTGTTAAATAAAGATAAAGACAGAAACAAAAGAAATGAGAACAAAGAACAGGTGAAATGAACAATCGAAGTATTAATTAATGGAAATAATTCAAAATCATTTCGTATGAACTATCAAAATTATCTAAGTCAGTTATTTTATTAAAACTATATTATTTCCTTCCTTTTTTATGAAAAACATTTCTGAGAATAGTCTTTTACTAAGGTTCAATATCTAAAATTCTAAAACTTCAAATTTATTACATTTTATAAAATGTGGAAAAGAATCATTTTTGAAATTTGTTAAGTGGTTACTAATAACATTATGATATTTTACATTTAATTCAATATTACTCTTATGTTCTTTAGTGCGAATTAATTAATAAAGGAATTAAAATTGAAAAAACAAATAAAATTTAAAAAATAAAAGAAGTAAAATTAAAAAAAGGAAAAATATAATATAATTAAAAAAGAAAAAATGAAATAAAATTAAAAATAGAAAAAAGAAATGAAATTTCTTATCCTAGGGATAACCGATGCTTTTTTAGAAAAGTATCTCTAAAATATCCCCAGGATATTTTTGGAGTAAATTATAAATATCCAATTTTTTTAGATATTTATAGCATTTTATGTTTTAAAAATGTTATTTTAAAATATCCTGAATATCAAAATACTGTTTGGGATTTTGTTGAGAAATTAAAAGGCAGGTGTAATAAAAATAAACAAAGTTGTATAACCAAAGTATTACTTCTTTTTTTAGTGATTTATATACAAGAAACATTATATTTAAATTATTTACATCAATTATCGTAGAAATTAAAAGGTATACTTACATTCTCGACTTCTCTCGAAGTTGGTGATGCTGAATTACTTATTAATTCACTTTCAATTAAATCATCAAAATTGGAAGCATCTTCTTCAACCTCCATGGGCTCAAATACTTGACTCATTTTGAAATTTGTGTTTCGTCTTTTTTTTCACACTTTTGTCACATTTAAACTAAAAATAATTTAAATATAATATATAGCTTTATTTTAATTATCCATAAAGTATTATATGGAAATAAATGTAAATAACTTGATGCTTTTAAGTGTTGTTGGTTATATCATTGATTATATAGTTAGGTAGATAGATGCGGGAGTAGAATGGTGAAGAAAGCTATTAAAGTCTGTACCCAAGTACGCAGGTATACTCAGTGCTAGGGCAGGACCCCGATTTTGGGATTAGAAAGTTTCTCGCGTTAACCACAATTCCAGGGTCGCTGTGTTCGAAATGTGGAGTGTATAGAATTAGGTATGCTTTCAATATATCATCAACTAAAATAATAATTACTAATTTAGTTGATATTTTTTCACACAGGAATTTCATGTAAACTAATGTATAATAGTGTCTTTTCTTCATTTTATCAGTTAAATTAGACCTGATTGTCAGGGAGGGAGTGTTAACAAACTTTTGGAGATGTTTTCATGTTACGTAACATGACTTTTTAACTTCATTTTCACTTCACTTTACTTTCACTCGACATTCAATTCCACATCCACTGCATTTTACTTTCACTCGAAATTCACTTCCACTTCACTTTACATTCACTCGACATTCACTTCACTTTTATGTTACTGATTACGTAATGTAATAGTGAAGTGAAAGTGAAGTGCATGTCGAGGGAAAGTGAAGTGAAAGTAAAATTAAAGTAACGTTAGAGTGAAGTGAAAGTTAAAAAAAAATTTATCATTTTATTATTAAACAATTTTTAATTTAAATTAAGTTAACAAATAAATAGTTCGCCTATTTTCAGGTGAAAAATTTATCTTTTTTCTAATGTCTTTAGAATTATGTCGCTATTAATAGTTAGTTGTATATAAACATTGTTCAAAAAACATTATTTGTTAATGTTATAAACAAATTAAGTTAACAAATGAACTGTTCATTTATTTATAGTCGAAATAGGATCGTTTTTTAATCGTTTTAGAATTATTTTACTAAAAACATTTTTAATAGATATTTTTCATAAGGTATAATTTTTTAATGTTATAAACAAATTAAGTTAACAAATCAACTGTTCATTTGTTTATAATCGAAATGTGACAGTTATTTTTCTAATCATTTTACAATTACTTTAGGAATAACATTTCTTATAAATATTTTTTATAAGATATCATTTGTTAATGTTATAAACAAATTAGTTTAACAAATTAATTATTCATTTGTTTAAAGTCGAAATTCAAATGTTATTGGTAAAGTAATTGTAAAAAGATTAGTAAAAAACGATATTATTTCAACTTTAAACAAATGAATAATTAATTTGTTAACCTAATTTGTTTATAACATTAACAAATTATACCTTATAAAAAATATTTATAAGAAATGTTATTCCTAAAGTAATTGTAAAATGATTAGAAAAATAACTGTCACATTTCGATTATAAACAAATGAACAGTTCATTTGTTAACTTAATTTGTTTATAACATTAAAAAATGATACCTTATGAAAAATATCTATAAAAAATGTTATTGGTAAAATAATTCTAAAACGATTAAGAAACGATGCCATTTCGACTATAAACAAATGATACAATACTATAAACAAATGACTATTTTATTTGTTAACTTAATTTGTTTATAACATTAACAAATTATTCTTTATGAAAAATATTCTAGTTATTTAGTTATTTCTAAAGTAATTGTAAAACGATTAGAAAAATTACTATACCATTTCGAGTATAAACAAAAGAACAGTTCATTTGTTAACTTAATTTGTTTATAACATGAAAAAATTATGTATATTTTATGAAAAATATCTGTAAAAAATGTTATTTCTAAAGTAATTTTAAAACGGTTAGAGAAAAAACGATATTATTTCGAGTTTAAACAAATGAAAAGTTAACTTGTTAACTTAATTTGTTTATAACATTAACAAATAATGTTTTTAAACAATATTTATTTACAACTATTAATGACAACAGAATTAAAAGCCAATAGAAAAAAAAAGATGATTTTTCACGTGAAAATAGGCGAACTATTTATTTGTTAATTTCATTTAAATAAAAAGTAGTTTAATATTATTAACAAATTATTTTTTAGTCAAAATATTGTTTTCTGTCTTTTATACATTAATACTCATTAGATTCAAGAGAATATCGCTTCAATCTAATGAATATTAATACTGAAAAAAATTTTCCTAAGAAATGAAAAGAAAAACTACTGAAGTCATCATTTATTTGTTATTTGCGTTAAAATAGAAATTAATAAATATAAAAATTCAAAAAAGTGCGTCCTGAAGTTTTTCAAAAGTTTATTTTTGAGTGTTTCTTAAAAAAATTGTCGACATTTTTGTGAAAATATGTGGCCCCTATAGACTTCTTTGAACAGTAAATTGCAGATTCAGACCACTGTGAGTCGTCCCTATTTTTGAAAACTATAAATTTAATTTAAAAAAATACAATTTTGTATAAAAATATAAAAAAAAAGTTTTTCTTTGCAGAATGCGCAGACTAGAAAAAGATACGCGACTATGCCAAAAGTGTTGCTCTACTATTACTGAGTTCTAATTTTAGTTTAGTTAATAACAGCGAATGCATTTAAAAATCTCAATTCATTATTTTTAATCCAATTATTTTTTAAATTAAATAAAAAAAGCCATTTTACCATGCATACTTGTATTAAAATTCAATTTTAAATTTTCAACCTTTAAAAATCGAGAGCAATAATAACAGATTATTTATTTCTGTAATTAAAAAAAATAGTAAATAATTTTCGAATGACAAATTTTTTTATTTTCTGTAATATAACATTTATGAATTTTTCTATTAATTTGCTTCGATTATTTAATAAATTTCAGCAATGAGGAAGTTTTGTTACATCGACAAAATCGAATTTCTGACTATAATAATCAGTGATATTACCCTTTGTGTCATTTTATATTTATTCATTTTTTTTTTTTTTGACAACAAATTTATACATCGAAAATGATTACGCTGTCTATTAACAGTTATTGTTGGCACATGACAATTGCGTGATATTGTCTTTCTTAATAGGAATTATAAACTGACATTTGTAAATACTGTTTAGTATCTTTTATTCCTTTGTACCGTATACTCTCCTTAATTTCAAGAAGAGTATCAAATAAATATTTGTATAAAATAAACACAATAGTACATGAAAAATATTTAGTAGTATTATTTAATTATTATTATTTAATTATTATTTAATTTATAACTATTTATATAATAATTATAGTGATTAATATAAAAGTGTTTAAAATACTAGTGATTAAAACTATTTCTACAGTGATTAAAATTAATGATAAAAATTCATTATGGATCATGAAATACGTCTCAACGATCTGGTATGTCAAAAATTTCATTATTATAATATGGAAACTGATTACTTTTAACTATTAGGAAAATTTTTTTTTTTTTTTAAATTGTCCATACAAAAGATAAAGAAAAATATTCAATGCTTTGTGTCTAAAATATTAATAAATTTATCAAGGCTTTCATCTAAAACAAATTCAAAATTTCGGATTGATACGAAAAGAATTGTTTTATGGTACCTATAAAGATATTTTGGGAAAGATTATATCAACTGTTATTATTTCAACGAAATATTAATAAACTTCTTTGGAATTTATATTTTACTAATTTTTTAACTTAAAAGGTACATTTTTTATTGAACTGGTTATTATTCCATTATAATACGTTTTTTTATAATTTTTATTTTATTATAAAATATTTTTTTATTATTTTAATTTTATTATATTATTAAAAAATTGAGAAATTTTAATTGCAGAATACATCGACATCGACAAGTGCACCACAAAGAAATGAAAATATTTCAAAAAATAGAAATCCTGATATTACTTATGGAATAGATGATATTCCACCCTGGTATTTATGTCTATTTATGGCATTGCAGGTGAGATGTAATAAAAAAATATATTCGATCTAGTTTAGAAAATACTATAATTTCATATATTAACGTTACAAAAGTTGAGCGAGAAAAAATTAATAAAAATGAAATTAAAAATAATAAAAGTTATTAAAAAAAACTTTATTCATAAGGCAAAAGAATACGTTTTAGCAAAGCCTCAGTTAGAAAATTTTTATTTTCAAATTAATTAAAAAAGAATTTATACTATACTAAAAAAGAATTCATAAACAATTTATACTTAAAATTTATTATCCTTAAATTTTATCTGTTTAAATTTAATTTACATAATTTACAGCACTATTTAACTATGATAGGTGCTATAGTTTCGATACCATTTATCCTAACGCCTGCACTATGCATGGCTGAAGATGATCCAGCAAGAAGTCACATAATTTCAACAATGATTTTAGTTACAGGAATAGTAACATTCATACAGACTACATTTGGTTGCAGGTATATTTTCAATTAAATAATATAATGTAAAATTAAAACGAAAAAGTATGATAAAACATTTTGTAGATTTTAAAAATTTTTGTAAACTTTCATTGACAGACTGGGTCAATAATTTTAGTACTTAAAATCATACTCTCAAGGCTAAAATTCAGTCGAAAATTTTGTTCTAGTTTGTCTTGTAAACGGCTTTATAGTTAAAAGTGGGCTGAAAGTATTAGATTTATTCTTTACACCTTTACAGTATAATTTTATCTCAAAAAACTTTTAAATTATACTGTAAACTTTAATCTTTAAATGATTGATATTTTATAAGTTTAAAAAATAATTAACACTATCTTAACTTAAAAGTATCGAATTGCAACGAATTGATATTAAAAATGTGGATCAAATAAAAAATTTATCCTAATTTTTGGCATCAATTTGATTCACTTTAGTATCAATTTGATACTTTCAAGGAAGATGTGAAATTCATTTAAGAATTATTAACTTTCTAAATTGGTATTGTACAAAAATTTACAGAATAAACCATACAACTGTATGGTTGAAAGGTTTCAAAAAATTGATGGTATGGATTAAAAAAATTGATTAATTTCCAAAAAATTTAAATTAAACCTAATTTTTAATAAAAAGAAAAAAAATTTAAAAAGCCTTTTTCAATTAATAATAAAAATTAAACTTTTAAAAGTTTGTCATTCATTATAAATTTAAATTACGTCAATTAATTCTTAATTCGAGGGAAAATGATTCAGTGTATCAACGGAAAGTTAATAGTAATTTAAATAAATCTTCAAAGTGGAGTAATTTTAAAATCAATGAGTTGCATTACATTATTTGTATCTTAAAGAGAGGGGGAAATTGAAATTAATTGCAACGAAATCTGGAATTACTGGTTTCTAGTCTGAATTGAAATGTCCAATAAACGTCTAATTAATCGTGTTTAATTAATTGAAGAAACATACTGACGCACACGATTATTTACATTTATAATTGTTAATTACAATTGCAAACACAAATTTATACTGAAAAAATTTTCCATGCTATATCCAAAATTATTTTGATGAAGACACTTAATAGATCATTTTTTTGGTGCTATTAGTTTTTAATATCTAATACTAATAATAATAATAAAAATGATTAATAAGATCTTTCTAAGATCTTTATTGTTTAACTTAAATGGCTTTTTAAAAAGTTTCTTTTAACAAATAATAAAAATGAAAATACAAGAAATGATAAATTTTGCAGACTTCCTTTAGTCCAAGGTGGTACAATTTCCTTTTTAGTTCCAACTCTAGCATTATTAAATTTACCACAATGGAAGTGTCCAAATAATGAGATATTAGAGAATATGTCTCCTGAGGATCGAACTGAATTATGGCAGGTACGAATGAGAGAACTTTCAGGTGCTATTGCAGTCTCTGCTTTATTTCAAGTAATTATTGGATTTGGAGGTAAACTATTTCGATTTGTTCTCATGTATTTTTGTTCTTTCAATAATGTTTTATAAAATTTACAAGTCAAATACGTACAAAAACACTAAAATGTTCTTTTTTATTAAAGCGCAAAATAATTACATGTTTGGTAATAAAGAAAAAATTCAAGGTCCCCTCTAATTGTATATATAATAGTTTAACATTTTTTCAATCTGTTATATAGAATTTTTCCATTTTCAGGAATAGTAGGATATATATTGAAATTTGTTACACCATTAACTATAGTTCCAACAGTATCATTAGTTGGTTTATCATTATTTGAAAATGCTGCAGAAGCTGCATCGCAACATTGGGGTATCGCTGCGGGGTAATAAATTAATTGGAATTAATAATTAATCCATAACATTATTCCTATTATTTATTTCTTGATTTAAGCCATAAATGGATTAATTATTTACAGGACAATATTGATGTTGACACTGTATTCGCAAATATTGGTTAATGTCGAGTGTCCGATAGTTGTCTACAAAAAAGGTCAAGGCATAAGAATCGTTTGGTTCGCTCTATTTAAATTATTCCCTGTAAGTTCTACCCCCCTTTTTCTAATTAGTACTTTCTGAATTTGAATTAGCAAAAACTTCAATAATTTAATAATAATAATACAATTCAATAATTAACTTGCGTATAATGAGTCCAATTATAATATTTATAATATTCTGCCGTACTTGGTAAAAACTTGGTTAAGTCACTTTTTTGTGAAAAATGAGTTTTTTATATCAATGGATTCGTAAAAAAAACTGCATCTACTTATGTTATTAAAAAATTTTATTTTAATTATTTATTGCAAAAAATAATTATTAAAAATCTGCGAAAATCGAGAAAATAAGGAAATACTTGAGAAAAAGTATAGTAACTCGAGTTACGTAGTGTAAAAATCGTAGAAGGCAATGAGCTCGAGCATAAGATAAGAAACAAAAACTTAGTCAAGTCGACATAATATTTCTGCTATCAAAAACATAGTGAATACTCAGCTTTCGTTTCGAAGCAAAAACCTTAAGTCGAGTTAACTGAGTTCTTATTTCGAAAAGTGGCATGAGCCAGACACTGTGTTTCGAAAGCAGACTCCTTAAGTCATAAGATTCCACCACGTGTGGAGTTAACTGAGTTCTTGCTTCTGATCGGCGGCCTGAACTCGACTACCTTTTCGCTGAGCACTCCTTAAGTCAATTTAACTAAGTTTTGCTTTTAAAAATAACACTTAAGTCCATTATTTAATATAATTTGTTTAAATAATTAATTTTTGACTGCAGAATTAAAAAGAACTCTATCAATTTACCTAGGAAGTAAAGTTAAATTAAATAATTTTTTATACTATATTAGGTTTATTAATACAAACAGTTTTTCGTCATTTTCTCGGTTTCACTAAAATATGACTTAACTAAGTTTTTACCAAGTACGGCAGTATTGCATTTGGCACTCTTATCTTTTTCAGAATTTGATAGTATTTACTTCATATAAGAAATATATTTTATATTTCAATATACAAGAAAAGTTTGTGATATCCTTTGAAGAAAGGTACCTAAGAAGCAAATCATTTTATAGGTTATTTTTCAATTATTTTTGCCTTACAAATTTTTGTTTAATCTAGGATAATTTACCTTGATTCGGCAAGGGTCATAGTGGCATGTGGACTAACTAGAAAATCCCATTATTAAGAAAAGGACGAAGATATATATGTCTATCCTTTTCTTTCTATAATGGGATTTTCTAGTTAGTCCACATGCCACTATGACCCTTGCCGAATCTAGGTAAATTATCTTCGATTTATTTGTGTAAAACTAAAATCAGTTTTTATAACCTTCCCCACCTCATCTAAACTTGCAGCAATTGACAACATTGTCTCAATATTATGTGAACCTTGCAGCAAAAATTTTGACAATATAATGTTTCTGCAAGTTTAGATGCTGTGGAGATTATTTTAGAGTCGCTTTGTGTATTTTCATTCCTAAAAGTTACAAACATAGCCTCTAAAATTTTTAACTTAGGTACTTTTCTTTGAAGCCATTATTAATATCTTATTGAACATTATTAAAATATTAAAATTATTAAATATTAAGTAAAATATTAACTAATGTATGTCATATATATGTAAAATATTTTAATCTCTTTGAAAATGATTTTCAGGTATTATTGACAATAGTTGTTATGTGGATAATTTGTGTTATTTTGACAGTAACTGACACTCTTCCACTTGGACATCCAGGCAGAGCGGATACAAAAATAAAAATTATTAATGACTCACCATGGATTCGTTTCCCATATCCTGGACAATGGGGTATTCCAACTGTCACTCTGTCCGGTGTTCTTGGTATGTTAGCTGGTGTATTAGCCTGCACTGTCGAAAGTATAAGTTATTATCCAACAACATCAAGAATGTGTGGTAAGTAACACGCCATCTATGGTGATTAGCTATTTTTTACCTCCATTTTTCTTATACACCCTGATGCTGTCCTTCCGGTTTGACGGAATTTTGAAAAGTCGTGTTATTTCTATTAAATATTCTTAGTTCGTGATGTTCGTTCGTGACTCAAAGTATGAGTTAGAAAAGGACAGATAAATATTTGTGTCTTTTTCTAACTCATGGATTATGTTTCCAAACGACTTTTACGATAACCTACTGTGCGTTGGCCTTTTTCTTTAATTAAAGGCCAACGCAGAATGAACTGATAATGATTAAAAATAACATTTTACAGGAGCTCCTCCACCACCAGTACATGCAATTAATCGCGGAATTGCAATCGAAGGTCTGGGAACAATGTTAGCAGGACTTTGGGGTAGTGGAAATGGAACAAATACCTTTGGTGAAAATGTCGGTACAATAGGCAAGTAGAACTGTATAAAATATTTGACGCCCTGAAGAAAGCTACCTTAGCAAATTATTTTAAGCTTATGTTTGTACCTTTCTTCGGAGCGCGTCACAATAAATTATTAAACTAATTAACACAAATATTCAATAAATGAATATTAATGTTAATTAACTATTTACAGTACTAAATAAATGTTAATGTTAAAAATTATATACTTAAAAAGGAGTAACCAAAGTGGGAAGTCGGAGAGTAATTCAGTGGGCTTGTTTCCTGATGATTCTCCAAGGTATCATCAGCAAGTTTGGAGCTGTTTTTATCATTATTCCAGAACCAATTGTTGGTGGAATATTTTGTGTTATGTTTGGAATGATTGCCGCTTTTGGTACGTAAATAAATTTATCGTATATACAAATAGGTTACAATAATTTAAAGGAATCAATTCAAAGAAAATTAATTTTTATTCAAATTGGTATTTTTTATTCATCAAGGTTTATCAGCATTACAGTACGTCAATCTTAATAATGCGAGAAATTTGTATATTCTTGGTTTCTCCATTTTCTTTCCATTGGTGTTATCCAAGTGGATGATCAAACATTCGAATGTCATACAAACCGGAAGTGAAACAGCAGACGGTGTTATTACCGTTTTATTGAGTACAACAATTCTAGTTGGAGGAATTACTGGATGTCTTCTAGATAATATAATACCAGGTAATGCAAAATATTACTCTAGACTTTAAATTTAGAGAAACCTATTACCGTTTATTATATTACTGCTTTATCAAAATTTTAAAAAATATTAAAATTTTCTTCATTTTCCGTTCAACAAAAAAAGGTACTCCTGAAGATCGAGGTCTAATAGCCTGGGCTAATGAAATGGAATTAAACTTTGATGCTACTTCAGATAGTGATGAATATGTTTCAAATACTTTTGATTTTCCAATAGGAATGAAGCTATTAAGAAGGTATATTAAATCGATAATTAACATTTTTCTTATTTTTACATTTTTCACTTTCGCTAAGTTTTTTAATTTCTTAATTTTCTTTCAATTCAGGTGGAAATGGACGTCATACTTACCTTTTATGCCAACATATAAACCACGATCTTAATAATTATATGTAATTCAAAAAACACTGCGACATAAAATTAAAACTAACGTATATTTGACGTTACTTAACTTTGTTTATAAGCCAAAATATATCAATAAATTGTAAAATTAAGAAGAAAATTTTATAAAAAATATTGTACTAATTAAATAAAAAAATTTTAAGTAGAAAAAATTGCTTATACTTTTTTTTTATGGCAAAGTCACTAACTAACAAAATTTTCATAGATGTGTCATGACTTTTTAAAACGCCGTCAAACCGGAAGGAAAGCATCTAAGCATCTGGGTGTACTTAAAGGCGATTTTTCAATATTCTAATTTTTACGTCGACACTCGACACTTGGTATGCACTTGGTCGACAAACGGTCGACTTTCACTTGAAGGCAACTGTTTTGCCAAGTTGCCAACTCTGACAATAAGTGAATCTATTATAATTACATGTAACATTGATTTATTATTAATAATTCGTTCATTATAGTTAATTATTGTAATAATAAGCGATAGTCAATTTTTTTAGATCAAAATCCCATTTGGATTTTTTAACCTTAGAAAAAGTGGTTATTCGAGTATAAAAACATTATTTGGAATTAACATATTTGTTAAAGTAATAAACATTCTGTCAAATGACATTTATACCATTAAAAATATATTTTATGGTAATTTGAGTTAATCAATAGGTTCGAGAAAATTAAGTTTTCATTACATAAATATTTTATTAACTTACATTTTGAAAAATCCAGCATTTGAATAAATGACATCTAGAAAATAATAATATTAGGACAAACAACAATTTTATCAGTTTAATTTTCATCTTTTTTAGGATTAGACGCTATTCTAATTATTCAAAATTATAATTATGATTAAATAAATTTAGATCATTTTTACAATTAAAACTTTTAAATTAGATATAAAATTACGATTAGAAAAATAATAAAAAATATTTTTTACATTATACAATAAATTTAAAAATTTATTAAATTGTATGTGAATAAATATATATTTAAATTGGGGACAAAATTGTAAAATTTACAATTTATTTAATTGTTTTTCTCTTCAATGCTTTTAAAATATTTCCATATACTACACTCTTTGGTTTTGTTATTTTTTTAAATCTTTAAATATATAGCCACTATAATAAACAAAATAATAACTACTAAATAAAAATATAACGCCGGACCCGCCGGACCATCTCATTTACGAAAGTGTAATGACAAAAGTGAGGTTATGTTACATTATCTTAAATTCTCGGAGAATTTAAATTTTAATTGCCGGTTACATTCTCGGTATAACATAACCGACTTAGAACACAAGTCGTTCGCGAACCTATTCAGCCTATTGTCGACGTAAAAATTGGTATATTGGAGAATCGCCTTTAGAAATTTGACAAAAACAAAATTAATTAAATTCGTTACTTACCTATCCTTAATCGAAGGGACGGAAGGGACAGTGAACAGTCTGCTTTGTCGCGCTTTTTGTCTAAATGTCTAGTTAGTCCAAGTGGTACAAGTGGCAAGTTTAGTGTTAGTGTCAGGAAACCAAATCGTAACAATAATTGGATTCAGTTGTCAACTCTTTGGGTGCGACTTTCGGACTAACGGTGAGAAATTAGAAGAAAGTAAGTATAAAGAAATAGAAAGTAATACTAACATTACTATTATTTTTGTTTCTGCAACTGCCGATAAATCATCAATAACAAACAGGTAGGTGTGAGTTTTAGTAAACAAAAAATCGTAACATAATAAATATAAGAGTAAAAGTTAACTTAACCTTAAATTAACCCTATTTTAAAAATTAGGATAATTTTTAATTTCAAAAGAGGTTAGTTTAACTGTAAGAATCTGCTAATCTTACGCACCGTACGTCAAGTTTCAGTACTACAAAAATTTCCTTCTTGAATCGTTTCATTTTATATCCACTGCTTCGGACCCTTCACTTCTCTCTCGTTGTCCATTCCCCACGGTTTTGCTCCGTGTTCAGTGAACGTTGTAAACAAAAACATCTCAAAATGCCGGAAAATTTAAATCAAAAACTATTTTATAATACAGTGTTGTGCCAAACATTTTCTCCAGACAAACAATTTCTTTGTGCCGGAAATATTTATGGCGACGTTTCAATTTACGAGTAAGTATTCTTAATTTTATTATTATTGTAATGTACCTTTTTTGGTTATCTTTAACCTCTTTTTAGGCATTTAAACTTTATTTTTAGTTCTTTAAACTATTTTTAGTCATTTAAATTTTTTCTAGTCATTTAAACTTTATTTTTCGTCATCTAAACTTTACTTTTAGTCTCTGAGACTTTATTTCTAGTTATTTAAACTTTATTTTTGGTCTTGAAATTTAGTACAAAAATTTGTTTCTCTTCGCAGAATTTCAAAAATTTTAGGTCCACAATTAGAGGAGAATAGTTGTCAAGGGCCAACATATCGATTTACAGCTCATTCTAATCAACATGTCGAAAGTATGGTGGCTACTGAACAATTTCTGGTTACTGGAACATTAGGAGAAATATCAGGATGGGACTGGAAAACGATCACTTCTAATAAGGCTTCAAAGGCTAAAGTTTCCTGGACAATAAGTTTACCAGTTAAAAAGTAACTACAATTAATATAATTAAGGCGTAATATCACTCTAGAGGCAGAAAAAGAGACCTATCTTTGATAATTTGTTTTGAGAAAATGAAAAATGAAATAGGATTTCTTTTTGGAGGGTTTATTAAATACGTAATATAGAAGTGTGGAGATTTTTTTTTAAAAATTATATAATAAAATGACGGCGGTAAATTTCATAGTCAAAATCGACTATTTTTTACGGCCTGAAAGGTTTTTTGAAAAATTTAAGTCCTGGAACAAAAAACAAAGAAATTTTATAAACTATATACTATAAACTTTGGAAGTACATATGGATTTTTTAATTGGATGTAAACTTTATTTTTTATAAACAATTTACTGTTTATTTTTTGGCAAAAATCGATTATTTTACTCAAAAAGTGCGCTATTTTTTTTTACAAAAATTGATGTATAAAAAATCCCATATGTATTTTTAAAGTTTATATTATATAGATCATGAAATTTCTTTGTTTTCTGTTCCAGGAATTAAGCTTTTCAAAAAAATTGTCCGGCAAGAAATCTAAAAGGGAATCATATTCCTTTTTTTCATTTTCCCAAAATAAATTATTAAAAATTAGTCTCTATTTCTGCCTCTAGAGTGGTTTTGTAGTTTTGTAATTTTGTAGTTCTAATTTTAATGTTATTTTTAAATATAGTGTGCATTTTATAGTAATTAGAAAGTATGGTACATAGTAATACGTTTAATAAATATATATAATAGATATTGTTTGAAATTTACAGTGATAGTTACGAGAGACCAGACGTTAATTTTATGGTTTATTCGAAATCAAATCACTTACTATACGCTGGCTGTGGAAATAATACAATTTACATAATTAGCTTGGAAGGTGGTAAAATTCAGAGAAGTTTGGAAGGTCATGAAGATTATGTTCACTCTATTTCCGTAATGTATGGATAGGAAAAAACTTAAAATTCTTCTTATCGTACTTTGTCTCGTGATAATCTTTTGCTGAAACTTCCCTCAAAACACAGGAATATTTTGAATATTCCAATGTTATGAGGGTTAATACCAAAATTAGAAAAGTCTTCTTTATTTTTAATTTATCCTTCCTTTGGCATATATTTATGGATTTTTGCGAGACAATTGCAATTAGATAATTAGGAATTTAACAAATAAAACTGTTAATTTAGGGGCGAACAATTAGCCTCTGCTAGTGAAGATGGCAGCGTACGATTGTGGGATCTTAGAAAGAAGGAAAATACAAATATTCTAAAACCTTACTTAGCTGATAAAGTAGCAAGGCCGAAATTGGGTAAATGGATAGGAAGTGTAGATTTCACTGAAGATTGGCTGGTAAGTAAAATTTTATACAGGCTTCATACTCATCTACTAAAACTAAAACGATTTAATTATTTTAAAAAAAAATTTTTGGCGACATTCAATTATTTACAATATTCACTATTTTAATAAAAAATTTCCCAACAGAATTTAATTTAAAAAAAAATAAAATTTTTTGCAAACCTTTAATTATTTTCTTCAATAATTACATTTTCACAGGAATTCAATTATTCAAAACACAATTTTCATAAAAATTTTCGAAGAAAATCCTTTATTTAAAAAGATTTTTATAAAATTCTTCACAAAAAGTCAATTATTTTTAATAATAATAAAATTCTCCACAAGAATTCACTTATTTTTAAAAATTGTTGAAAACTTTTTAAAAGAATCCAATTATTTTAAAAAATTTTGATAAAATTCTTTATTCTTTTTTAAAATTCTTTTCACAATTTTCATAAAATTTTTCGCAAGAATTCAATTTTTTTCAATAGAATAAAAATAAAATTCTTCTCAGGAATTCAATTATTTTTAAAATTGTTAATAAAATTCGTTGCAAAAATTCAATTATTTTTATAATTAATAAACTCGTCAAAGGATTTCATTTATTTTTAATACAATTTTAAATGAGTTACTCAAAAAATGAAATTATTCTTAAAAATTTTAATAAAATTAATTAAAAATAAATTTTAATAAAGTTCTTTGCCATAATTCAATTGAGGAGTAATTTTTTAAAAGTTGATAAATCCATTTTTCAAAAAAATTAAGATAAACACATTCAAATTATTAAAATCCTTAGAGATCAATTTATCACTGTTCAATTTAAGAAAAAGAATTTATTACCAAAGAATTGTCAATTTCAAAAATATTTTGGCCTAACCCTGATGATTTTTAATTTTTACCAAAAAAAATTCCCTTGTTACAATAGACTTTAATTACAATCAGAGCGTTTTAAATAGAAAAAATATTAAAAAATGAATCATTTATTAGAATTTTTCTACATTAAAGTTAATTTTAATGGTTATGTGAGAATTCTCATTTGTTTAAATTTCTCGAAATGACAAAATTTGGATTTATCAGGTTTTAAAAACTTACTCCTCAATTACGTTCATAAGTTATAAAATTCTTTGGAAAATTTCAATTACTTTTAATAGGTACAATTTGAATAAAATTTCTTGATAGAATTTAATTATTTTTAAAAAGTTTAACAAAATTTTTTGTTAAAATTTACTTATTTCTAAAAATTGTGATAAAGTTCCTTATAAGAATTCATTTTTAAGAAATATTTAATTATTCAATAAATTATTAACTTTTGTACTTAAATAATAAAATTCTCTAAGAACTTTCTGATAAGAGTTGATTTAAAACTAAATTTCAGTTAAAATGGTAGATAATAATTGAATATTGCAAAAATTTACAAGTGTATGAATTTTTAGAAATAATTAAATTTTAAACGATTTTCAAATTGAAATCTTTGGAAATTTCAATTATTGTAAAACTGTAATATTTAAATTTTTATTTTGAAATAAAATAATGAATGTTTTAAATAATTTTAATTAAAAATTTCAACAACAAAAAATAACTGAATTTTGCAAGAATTGCAATTGTAATTTTTAGAAATAATTAAATTTCAAAAAGGCTTTATATTGAAATCATTTAAAATATTAAAATTTTTATGAAAAAATAAATAAGTATTTAAATGTTTATATTAAAAAAATTATTCTACTTTTTGAATGTAATTTAATTTAGAAATTATGAAAAAATTGAATCGTTAAATTTGATTTTTTTGATAGCTACTTTTTTCAGTTTTAAAGCTACTTTTTGCTACTTTTTTAAAATTAATTATCGAGTACGAAACCTTTCTATGCTTTTTAAAACAAAGAAGAAGATTCAAGAAGGATGAGGGAATAAATAAGTGTAAATATTACATTGGAGTGAAAACAAACTCAAAAAGTGATACTGAATCCCACAAGAATGATAATTTGAAATAAATTCCTTACTTTCGAAACAACAGTTTATAAAAAATTTCACAAATTAATTTTGAATTTCATTTCATTAACTCCATAGTTATGCGGTGGTGGACCAAAATTATCACTATGGCACATGAGAACAATGGAAACGGCGACAGTTTTCGATCTACCCGATCAGGGAATACACGTCGCCAATATTTACGAGGAGAGAATAATTACCGGTGGGACAATGCCACACGTTTATCATCTCACTTATCAAGGAGAAACATTAGCCAAAGTTCCAGTCTCCAGTAACACGGTTTACAGTATCGTTTATCAAGAAGTACCGCAGAGACTATTAAGCATTGCCGGCTCTAGTAATCAAATCGACGTTTGCACAAACTTCAATTATAAGGAACTGATGTTAAAATTTTCTTAATTTGCCGCAACTAATTGTTTTATAATTTTCGGTACAACAAAAAAAAACCACTTTTGCATAATTTTTTAAATAAATTTAATTAAAATAAATATATTAATAATACACAGTGCGTTTCTAATTTTATGCAAGCTGTACAAATATTTACAGAAAGTTTTGTTCTGAATTGCGTAGTTTAAAATTCAGTTATTTCTTATATTACCTATTATTTTTTCATTGATTTTCATTAATTCTTTATTGATTTCAATACAATTTCGGTTTATGAAATTGATTAATATGGATAGTTTTGGAATGAAATATATTTATTTAAATAGTAGAATATCACAAAAAGCCGTGACCGGCAATAACTGCAGGAATGAAACCTTCTCTGCCGTCTCGTGATCTAACCCAAAACCAATCGTTCACGTGATCACTGATAAGTGCTACAACGTCGCCTTTCATAACGCTGATGGCATTCACTTCATGGCCCTCGTAATCGTTTCGAATGACGAGCAATGTGTGACGTGATCCTTTTGTTCTTGCATTTGCTGCTGCTCTCAAGTACAATCGATCAACACTTCGCTCGCCGCATGTTGAAAATGCATCCCTTGAACTGCGTCTCATTCTTCCTGATCTTCCACGAGTTCCGCATTCCGATCTTGTGTCACGTAGTTTTTCAGTATCGGTCATATTGCCTTGATGGGGGAAATTATTTTTCACGATTAATTTTAAACAATTTTTAGTTTGTTCATTTTCAGATTAAAAAGAAAGTGCTAATTTAGAGCTGATTTCAGTTTTTCAAATGGAATCCAATTGACTATTTAATAAAACAAAATCGGTTCTAATTTCATACTTATCTTTTTACAGAGCAAAAAACTTTTCAAAAAACGTTTCATGTTTGAACATGGATGTTTAAATTATGCTCTAGAACATTATTCGGTGGACACGAAACGTTCTAAAAAGGTTTTAAGAACGTTTTTAGTACGAACATGGTCTTTTGCCCAAAAAGCACTTATGTTTCAATTTATGTGTAATGTGGAATTTACCCAAGGGTCTCGGAAAGACGTCTGTTGAATCCTCCCAACACGGTCCATGGGTTGGTTGTGGTAAAATTCCAAGAGGTAAACAAGCGGCGTAACCCACATAGCCTTCTTGTCCATGAGGTGTTTGGACGTACAACCAGGCTTGATTTTTGAAAACGGCGTTCACCACGGTTCCTAGGGGTAGGGCAACTTCATCCTGAGTGCCACCTTGTGTTTGATATAAAACGGACGGAAACGATAGCACAACAGGTATGTTTGCTGGTTTCTCAATGGAAGCCTGTAATTAAAACTAATTTGTTTAATATATATAAATAGTTAATGGAAAAATATACCAACATATTTACTGCACCCCTGTGGGTTCTTCGATATCACCAATATTTTGCAGATATTGTCATGGATGAAAGCAATTGTTTAAAAATATTTAAAAATAAATTTAATTGTATTCCTGTTTTCTATTTTAGATATGTGGACGATATGTTGTTAAGTACTCACACAGATTATGTCGATATAGTATTGAATGTTTTCAATTCTTATAATCAAAATTTTTAATTTACTTACGAATTAGAAGTTAATAATCAGATTAATTTTCTCGACATGACGTTAATTAAAAATAATAACAAACTATTAATTAGTTCCAAACACCGACATCTTCTAATAGAGTGATCACTTAACTTTTCAGGTCATCCAATTAAACAAAAAAGAAACATTATTTATAATCTATTAGACAGAGCTATTTTATTGTCACATGACTCTTTTCATAAATGTAATACTAAAAAAGTGGTTCAAATTCTACTTAACAATGATTATCCATTGGATTTTGTCAATAAACATATAAAAATGAGAGTTTTTAAACAGAATTATACATTTAACAAAAAACAACATAATGAAAAATCGTCTATTTATAGTCGTATTCAAAAAATTTGCATTCCTCTTAATGACAATTACTCACAATTGTCAAAGATCTGAAAAGATTATAATTTATTGTCAATTCCAATGGTTAATAAGTCTTTGACTTCGGTTGTTAAACTAAGAAAGAATGCAACTAACAAATGGAACCAAACTGTCATTGTTTACAAATTTAATTGTAATAATTGTTCTGTTAATTACATCAGGGAATCAAAACGTAGTTTAGAAAAAATCAAATCTTTAATTTTTTTAAAATGATTAAGAAATCATTTTAAAAAAATTAAAGATTTGATTTTTTACCTTCGTAAGAAAGGAATCAAGATCAGCAATTTCGTAGCCAAATCTACTGGATGATCGAGTTTTGTGAGGTCGTTTAGTTCTTCGGTGTTTGTGCTTCTCCCTTCCACTGGAAGTCAATGTCGATTCCCTGGGTACCAAAGTTGGTTCTGAAGTTGCCCTCTTCACTTTTTCCTTCACTTCCTTCTCCACTGATGAAACTTCCATTTGTTTCTCTAACTTATTATTATCTATCGTCATATCTATATAGTTACCATTCAGTCTTTCCTTTTCGATTGGCTGCAACAAACATTTTTTACCACATTTAACATTTAGTGCTAAACAATAATTCTTCGTCATCAACACTGTTTTTTAAGGATTATCAAATTGAGACAAAAAACGAATCAAAAGTGTTGTGAAGCAACGTTTTGATTCGTTTTTTGTCTCAATTTGATAATCCTTAGAAAAACATTGTCGATTGGAGCACTGAATTTTTGTATTTTGGATCAATTTTTTTTTGTATTCAATTTCTATGATAAAATTCTATGATAATCTATGATCTAATTTACGAATATACCTTTTCAATTGCATCCTTTTCGATTCTATTCAGAACAGTGTGTTTTATCTCACGATTATCGAAACATCCATTGTTGTCCTTACATTTTTCTTTCTCCTTTACATTCTTCGTACTCTTGATGCTTCTCAAGCTTTTCACGCTATTTCTGAAAGGTCTCTCCTTTATTTCCAATGATAAACCACCCTCCTGTTCCTGACCCTGGGTAATCGAAGTGCCATTGGTGGATATTGAATTTGCAGATTGCTGCTGACCACGAAGGACCCAAGTTAAAGAGATCTTCGGGCGTAACAATGAACTAGATCTCTGGCCCATAATATTTAGAGAAACTTTCGGGAATTTAGATTGTCAATGTGAAAAATCTTTAAAGCTGGAGATGACAGTGGCGGTGTTACTGCTGGTAGCGGACAGTCCACCACCAGGTCCACCGCCTGCTTCGAACACCCATTTTTCTAAAACAAAATTTTCATTTCAAAACAGATTTAGGAACTATTCATTTATATCGCAGCACTTAATCCCAAAATTAATTGACAATACACGAAAAAAATTATTTGATTCAAATATAGGGGAGAGTCTCCAGTTGTGAGACAGTCAATTTTTTTTAACATGCAATATTAAAAAGCCGATTGGTTTATGTAAAAACATTTCTTTTTATATGAGCCAACTTTTTCGTGTACGCCGAAGCGGATATATAAACTGTTTTTGTTAAATACCAACACTGTGTGTGATAATCGACTAAAAAGCGTTTTTTCAATAAATGCAAAGTACTTTTTTTCCAAGTTAATTAATTGGAAAAGGTAAATGTAATGCATTTTCTTTTGGTGTTTTCCTTATATTTTGTGATGCAATATTGCATTGTTCCAATCTACGGTTGAAAATAATTTAATTTTCCTTTTTCAAAATAGCGTCAATTTCTGGGTGTGAGACACAGCATATCACCAGTTGTGAGTCGGTGTCAACACCCATCTGGTCAGCATAAAAAATACGACTTTGCAGGCATACTATTTAAATGTTGTTTTGATTTTTTTTCTAGTATTTTTGGACATGTCAAGTAGATAAAAGTCAATTGATTCAGAAGAAATCAATTTTAATGCTCTTTTTGAAGCTATTTAATTGTGTTTATTTGATAGTCATATTTTGGCGAATAAATATTATTATTTAGTATATAATAATATATATTATTAATATATTTAATTATTTCTACTAAACATAACGTTTTATGTCAAACTTATTAAATTTTAGCAATTTTTAATGAGTGTCTCACAACTGGAGACATTTTTTTTTTTTTTTTTAAAAAGCGATGTGCTCGGAAAATGTAACGTAAAATTTTTTGAGTTCATCGAAACACTATACTTTCTTTTAATAAAAGTTGCGTATTTCTGTTACCTTTCGAACGGTGTATTTTATTTACAATTTCGTTTACCCGTTTACAATTTACGGGTCAAAAATAAAACCCGTCTCACAACTGGAGACTCTCCCCTACTCTCTAAATTTAAATTAGTAAAAATGTTTACTAATTTGAATTAGTGACTGACTTTTTGCTTTTGAATTAGTGAATTTTACTAATAAATATTAATTTCTACTAATTTATTATTTAACTTTACTATTTCAAAAGCAAAAAGTCGCAGTCACTAATTCAAATTAGTAAACATTTTTACTAATTCAAACTTTGAGAGTACGATTACTTGTCTATTGTCAAATGAATATTTACTTGAATCAAATAATTTTTATTTAAGTCAATTAAATATTGAACTAAAGTTTACAACGTCAAACCTGACGATTTTTCAAATTATTACTTAATAGTAAAATCGTCAGTTTTTACGTTGAAAATTTTAGTTCAATAATGAAATGGTATTTTAATCAATGATTTCAGACTACTCTTATCATAGTAATAAGTTCAATTCTAAATTTTTATGAAATTCAATTATTTTTCAAACTTTTAGTTATATAATTCTTCAAAAATTTCATATAATAATAATTTTTAAAAGTAAAAAAATAAATTTTGTTAAATATAAAAGAATAAAATAAATTCAATAAAAATTCAATTAATGTTGACAATTTAATTTCCAATTAATTGGAAATTAAAATAAATATTTATAATTTTTACGAGAATTTAAATGTAGGTATATAAAAAATCTTAATTAAAATTTATCAAAAGACTAATTTTGTTCATAAGTTCTAAATAATTAAATTATTCATACTTTAATAATTTTTGTTCAATGAATGTTTAGGTAAATACTTATTTATTGTTCCAGTACAGAAATTGAAATTTTAAATAATTTTAATGTAAAAACTTTTTGAAATTTAACTATTTCTTAAAATTCATACTATACAGCATTTAATATTCACTTATTGTATAATCTAAAATTTTAACTGAAATTAAATGAATTCTTATTAAAAAAGTTCTACAAGAATTCAATTATTTAAGTAAAAAATAATCGATAGAATAATTGCGATTATTTCTTAAAATTGAATACGTACAAAGAATTTCATAAAAATTTTTTTAAATAATTAAATTATTCCAAGAATTTATTCAAAGCATTAAGAATGATTGAAATTCTGTAAAGAATGTTATTATTCATAAAAATAATTCAATTCTTACAAAGAATATTTTATCAAATTTTTTGGAAAGAATTGAATTTTTTTAAAATCATTTCATGACATTTTAAAAAATAATTCAATTATTTTGAGTAGTTCAATTAAAATCACTAAAATTGTATTGAAAATAATTGAATTACTGTGATAAATGAATTTTATTATTTAAGCAAATTATAATTAAATTCTAATAAACGTTATCAAAATTTAAGAAAATAATTAAGTTCTTTCAAAGAATTTTATTAAAATATTTTGAATAATTGATTTATTTTGAAAAATTTTCTTGAAAATTTTATTTCAAATAATTGAATGCCTGTGCAAAATTTTGTTATTCATGATTTTAATTGAATTTTTGCTTAGACTTTTATTATTTGTGAAAATAATTGAATGATTGTGACGAATTTTATCAAAATTTTTGGAAATAATTGAATTTTTTTTAATCATTTCATAAAATTTTAAAGAATAATTCAATTATTTTGCATATTTTAATTAAAATCATTATAATTATGTATTAAAAATAATTGAATTATTGCGATGAATGAATTTTATTATTTAAGCAAATAATTGAATTCTTATAAACAAATGTTATCGAAATTTTAGAAATTAATTAAGTTCTTTCAAAGTATTTTATTAAAATATTTAAATAATTGGTATTGTTCAAAAATTTACAGAATAAACCATATAACCGAATGGTTAAAGAAAATTGATTAATTTCAAAAAAATTTAATTTAAACCTAATTTTTAATAAAAAGAAAAAAAAATTTAAAAAGCCTTTTTCAATCAATAATAAAAATTAAACTTTTTAAAATTTGTCATTCATTATAAATATAAATTAAATCAATTAATTCTTAATCAATTAATCAATTAATTCTTAATTATTATTTGTGAAAATAATTGAATTATTGGGACGAATTTTATTTAAATTTTATTATAATTTTTGGAAAGAATTGCATTTTTTTTAATTATTTTATGAAAAGTTAAAAAAATAGTTCAATTGTTTCGAATAATTAAATTGAAATTGTATTATAAATAATTTAATTCTTGCGATAAATTTTATTATTTATAAAAATAGTGTAATTTCCATAAACAAATGTTATCAAAATTTTGGAAAATAATTAATTTCTATTAAAGAATTTTATTAAAATATTTTAAATACTTAATTTCTTTGGAAAAATTTCCTTGAAAATTGTAGAAATTTGAAATAATTGAATTCATGTGAAAATTTTATTATTTATGGAAATAATTGAATGTTTGCGAAGAATTTTATTAATTTTTCTTTTTAAATAATTGAATTATTTTGAGAAATCGTATTAAAATAGTTTATATTAAAAATAATTGAATTCCTAGCAAAATTTTGTTATTCATGATATTAATTGAATTTTTGCGAAGAATTTTATTATTTGTAAAAATAATTGAATTCTTGCAACGAATTTTATTGAATTCTTGCGATGAATGAATTTTATTATTTAAGCAAATAATTGAATTCTTATAAACAAATGTTAGTAATTATATTGAATTTTTGGAATAACAATTTTATTAAATTTTTTTTTAAAGAATATTGAATTCTTTTGAGAAATTTATTAAATAATAGATATTAAAAACATTTTAATTTCAGCGAAGAATTTCATTTTTTGCGAGAAAATAATTGGAATTCTGGAAGAATTTTCCAAAAGTTTTTCAAAAAAAAAGGTTCCTGAACTTGACATCGATGCTCAGCATCGAAAACTATTTTTTCTTATTTTTAGTGATAAAATTTTAATTTCAACTAATTTCACTTCTTTTATTCACCTAGGGAGTAAAAAACTTTTTAAGAGTACTTTTTAACCTTGGGAAAAATTTTAATGATTTTTTAAGGTTTCGTCCAAAAAATATTACAAAAATATTACAAAAAATATATCGATGGCAACTTCAGGAGCCTCAAAAAAATTAAATTGTTTCATAGAATTTTATCAAAATTTTCTAAATTGTCTCTGTGAAGAATTTTCTTAAAAATTTCTTATTTTATCTGTTAGCAGATTTAAAGTTGTGCAAATTTTAAGAATAAAGCATCTTCTGGTGTTACAAATTTAAAATAAAGTATTCAAATGTTAGCTAATCGGAGAAAAAGTATAGTAAATAGTAGATTTTAGTAGATGAGTACAAAGTCTGTATAATAATAAAAATAATCTAAAATTAAAGGCTCTAACAATAATTGTATAATTGTATAACCAAAAGGAAATCAGGGTTGTTATGATTTTTCATGAAGGAAATTTCATAATAATATCGATAAATAAAACAAAAATTAGGTAAATTTAAAAGTTTAGTTAAATATTTATTTTCGCGTCGTGTTCTATATTTTAGACAATATTTTGCAATAGATGAGAACATTTTTTGCAAAAATTACAAAGTTCGGATTAAAATATACAAAACACTGAGTTGAACAATCACTCCGAGTTAAGTTTACCTTCAGATTGCTTATAACTTAATGTTTTATATTTTAACTAAGACGACCGAGTGATAAATTTTAATATTTATTACAAAGTCCAGAATTTTATAAGGATTTGATTTTCACCCAAAATCCACCGACTGGAGTATTAAGGAAATTCGATTCATCTCTTTTCAGTGGAATAATCATTTTAGATGCAGGTTCAATCGAAAAGTCCTTTAAAATAGCAGAAACTGCAAGTTTCATTAAAATTACAGCCATCCTCATACCAACACACACTCGCGGTCCTTCACCAAACGGAAGAAAAGTAAACTTGTGTCTACTATTCTTCTCCTCGTCATTGAATCTCTCAGGATCAAATTTTTCCGGTTCATTCCAATATTTCGGATCCATTTGTAGTCCATAGGCGGAAACAGCCACCGTTTGTCCAGGTTCAACAACGTAGGACAAACCATCACTTCCCTCAAGTTTTGTCCGTTTGGTGCAAACTTTGAAGAACACACCAAAAATATGATTCAGTCTTTGCGATTCATTGAGGACTTTTTCAAAGTAAGTCATCTCCTTAAGAGCATCGTAGGTCATTTTACCGTTGTACTTTTCGAGTAATCTGTTAATTTCTTCGCGCACTTTGGTTTGGATTTTTGGACGTCTGGCTAAATCCATAATTAGAAAACTCAACGTTTGTGCTGTTGTTTCGTAAACATCGACAGCGAACGATAACATATGTGCTGCTGCGAGTGTTTCTTCGTTTATTGTACTATCCTGTGTTCTTTGATAATCCATAACGAACTGAACAAAATCGTCGTAAGTTTGATTCTCCTTCTTTCTACTGTTAATGATCGTCTTTGCAATTTGTCGAAAATACTGATCAACTTCTTTCGGTGTAATGGAAATTTTCATAAATTTCGCCAATGAGGGAGTGAAAAACATAATCATCTGTTGAAATCCACTAACGAATGATGGATTTTCGAAAATTTTCCCTAGTATCTCGTTGTACTTCATCTCACCCTGTAGTTCCTCCTGAAAATTATGAGCCTCAATGCCCATTCCAGTGGATGAGACTTCGCCAGTGAATTTGTTGCACAGCACCTTTAGATTCAGTTCTTTTTCCTTTTCAACTCCGCACTGGTCATGCAAATATTTACCCATTTTGGAACCAACTTTTTGAAACAGCGTCAACATTAGTTTTAGTTTCATACTCGAAAAACTGTTCGTCAGTGGTGCTCGTGCCTTCTTCCACTTTTCACCTTTCACAAAGAATGGATTTAAACTAAAAAGTTCATCCTTTTCGGGACAATTGAGTTCAAAAGGATTTTCACCAAATGAGGCGAAATTCGTTTGAAGAACACTTTTCACAATTTCCGGCTCATGAATTAAAAGTATTGGCGTACAGAATTGATAGAATCCGCACATGCTATGCTCTTTTGTTTCGTTGTAGAACTTTTCGCACAATGATCCTATATTTTTTTGTGCAGTAATCACTGGTAGAATGTGTCCTAATCCTGGAATAATTCCCTTTACTGTTGGTATTCCTCTCTTTTGGAAATAATTGTACCGCCATGATAGATAGAAGTGTAGGAGAAATAGAACAAAAGCAATTGAGGCAAGAATGTAACTAAGATCCATTTTTGAAGAGAGTTCCTTGTTTAATATACTGACGAAGAATAATCCTTTGTTTGGGAACAAAAATGTTTGTACTCACTCTGCCAGACAAATTTCTCAGAAAAACGAAATTTATCAACGATTTATCACTTAAATATGATAAAATTGTGATCGAGTTTAAAAAAGAGAGGGTCCAGAAATCATTAAAGAAATTTCTTTGTTGATAATGTCATGGTCGAATGAATCTATAGATACGCAGATAGTATTTATTGAGAAATAATTTTATATCATATATTTCAATGAATTGAGTTTTATGAAAAAAAATTTAATACAGGAAAGAAATGAATAATTTTGATAAAAAGTAATAATAACAATATTTTCATTGGATTCATAAAAACAGTTATATTTTACTGAGAGCCTATGCAATCATTTTATTTCAAATACATTCTATTAAAGTAAAGTTTATTTGGTTCAAATAAATAACATATATTTACAAATTTTATTTGTGTCTAATATTTGTGTCCAATTTGCTTCAAATAAATTTTATTCAGTTCAAATAACTTTTGTATGATTCAAATAAAGTCAATTTGGTTGAATTTTATTTTATTTGGTCCAAATAAATAGTCTATTTGGTTCAAATAACTTTTATTTGGTTTAAATAAATTTTATTCGGATCCAATAATTTTTATTTTACTCAAATAATTTTTATTTGGTTCAAATAAATTTTGTTCGGTTCAAATATAAATTTTATTCAATTTAAATAACTTTTATATGGTTCAAATAAATGTTAATAACATTTTTTCATTTTAACTTGATTCAAAAAAAGTATATTTGATTCAAATAAACTTTATTTAGCTCAAATATATTTTGTTCGGTTCAAATAAGTATTATTAAGTTGAAATAAAGTTTTTTGGTCCAAATGAAGTTCATTTTGTTCAAATAAACTTCATTTGGTTGAATTAAATTAAAATTTTATTTGGTTTTGATAAAGTTTATATATTTTAATTAAATTTTATTTGGTTCAAGTAAAGTATATATTTTGCTTAAACAAATTTTATTTGTTTTAAATATAGTGTATTCGACTAATAAATTCTATTTATTTGGTTCAAAAAAAGTATATTTTGTTCAAATAATTTTTTTTTGATCCAAATAAAGTTTAATTGGTTCATATAAAGTTTCAAATAAATTTTTTCAGTTCAAATAACTTTTGTATGAAAAATAAAGTCAATTTGGTTGAATTAAATTTTATTTGGTTCAAATAAAGTCTATTTTATTCGGATCCAATAATTTTTATTTGACTCAAATAATTTTTATTTGGTTCAAATAAAGTCCATTTGGTTCAAATAAATTTTGTTCAATTCAATTAGCCTTTATATGGTTCAAATAAATTTTGTTTGTTTCAAATGAAGTTAATTTGGTGCAAATTACATATATTTGACTTAAACAAATTTTATTTGTTTCAAATAAAGTCTATTTGGGTTCAAGAAATTTTATTTGGTTCCCTTATAGTTTACTTTATTCAAATAAATTCTATTCGGTTCAATTAAATTTTATTTAGTTCAAATAAAGTGTATTTGGCTTAAACAAATTTTAATTGGTTCAAAAAAAGTTTATTTGGTTCAAATAAAGATTATTTAGCTCAAATAAATTTTGATCGGTTCAAATAAATGTTATTAAGTTCAAATAAAGTTTTATTGGTACAAATTAAGTTCATTTGGTTCAAATAAACTCTATTTGGTTCAATTAAATTTTATTTGGTCCTAAGAAAGTTTATTTCTTTTAATTAAATTTTATTTGGTGCAAATAAAGATTACTTGGTTCAAATAAATTTTATTTGGTTCAAATAAAGCTAATTTCGTTCAAATTTAATAATTTTGTTTACTCTTGAGACAGATTTGGTTTGACAACTTTGGTTCAAATAAAGTTTATTTAGCTCAAATAAATAATATTTTCGGAAATAAATTGAACTCTTTGTATTTATTTCTATTATTTTATTTACAAATATTCATAATTTATTTATTCAAAGTCATGGAATATTTTCATAATAGTATAAACGCTTTAATTTAGGAATTATATAATAAAAGAATTCGTTATATTTTTATATCATTTTTAAAGATAATTTTAAGTAAAACGTGTTTTTATTGGGCAAATAAATTTTTTTCTTTCAATAATAATTGAGACTTTTAAAAATATTATTTTTTGCCATTTTAAATAATTCCTTATCACTCTAACCAATATTTTGTACTAAGAACATTTTTTATTACATAATATTAATATTATGAATTCTTCTATTTTATTATTATTATTATTATTATTATTATTATTATTATTATTATTATTATTAATAGAATAGAAATAAATTATTATTTATATGCGATTACCATTATTATTATATAAATTATTAAAAGTTATTATTATTAAAATATAATATTATAAAACAAGTGAAAATAATTAAAACATGAAGAAGAAGAAAAGTTTTTCCATAGAATTAAATGTTCACTGCGCAGAAAAAAACTAACTTATATTATTATAAATTATTCACTATAATATGTTATAGTAGTTATTATTATTATTATAATTATAATAATTTTTAATTATTAATTTTGTCATTGCATTGTATACAGGTAGAAAATAATAAACACATTTCAATGATTTGTATATTTTTTAATAATAAAAATTCGATATAATTTGACGTCTTTGATTACGACCAATTTATACAGATGGGTGATTCTCCTGAAAGGGACCCTTTTTTGGTTGAATTTCCAAAAAATCAAATTATTCTTTTTTTGTTACTTTTCTTTCATAAATAAGTTTAGAAAATGTTTAAAGATAAAAATATAAGTTGCGCAAAATTAATTTTCAGAAATAAGACCTCCAGGAACATTTTACTATCATGTGTTCTAGAGGTTAAGTATAATTAATTATAACTTTTAAATTAATTATTTTGTAAAAAAACTCGGTAGGAATATTTTTTTTAAATAATAAATTGTTATGTTTTAATTTATTGCACTTTTTGCTTGTATATTTTATTTTTATTAAATTAATAATTTAATTTGAGGGTTAAATATTTCAAAACAATGATTAAAAAATTAAAAACAAAAGAAAACGCCTATCAAATATAAAAAAGGCTTCGGAGATGAATTGATAATTTAATGAAAAAATTCTCATTTTTTCTAATTTTAAAAATATTACAATTTTTTAAAAAATATTTTTAGTTTTAATCATCAAATATTTTCACATCGATTACATATTATGTTTAAAACGTTAAAAAATATGATGTTATTATATAGAAAATGAGGCTTCGGAGATGAATTTAATTTTTACTCTCATTGATAATACTATTTTAATTAATAATTTAAATAACTTTTTTTACCTTATTTTAAACAAATGTAAGTAAAAAATAATTCTTATATTCTAAACTTTAATTTGATATATATCATAAATATGTTGAAATTGTTTAAATACGTTAAAATATAATTATAAAATATACATTCTGTTTAACCAAAATTCGATGACAAAATTAAATATGTTTTTTAAATAGTAAGAAATTTAAATATAAGCAATAGAAGATTATATAAAGATAGATAAATCTTTGTAGATTATAAATAAATTTTTCAAAAAATTTAAACTTGATAAAATATTAATGAAAAATTAATTTAAATAATGAACCTCATGTTGGAGACACGTGAAGTGGTCCCTTTCAGGAGAATCACCCAGATATATTTTTCTTATTATTATTTTCTTTCTTTTTTTTTCTTTCGGCGAAATTTTTCCTTGAGATGTAAAAACGAAGTAAAGAACTTGATTTATTTTACGAGGATTTTACACAAGCAGCGTATATATATTCACTAAGAACTTTTAGGGCAACAACCTGTAATCTCCAACAGTTAAATTTTTGTCTTTTAAAAGGGACATTCATTTTTTTATATCAGACAATTATTTTTACATAACAATCATTATCGTTAATTTTCAAAAATTCTCCATAATACAAAAGTAATTGTTGACTTTAGTAATTTTAATTCGATAAAATAATTTCTGTATAAAAAAAAATATTTGTTTTTACATTAAACAAAGAAGAACAATTTTTTGGTAATGAAAGTTTAATTGTATGGAAAATTTGTTCTTCTTTATTTTTTAATTGATCAAATTTAATTTTTAATGAACAAAATTAATAAATAATTATTATTCAACGGTCGATAACAAAAAAACATAAAAAATAAAGTTTGCGGAAAGTGAAAAATTCGTGGTACAAAAAAAATTGTGCGGAGACGAATAAAAAAGGACAGAGGCAAGCAGACAAAGTAGCCCCAGGTGACAAGTTAAAGTTAAAGGAAGAAAGGCAGAAACGGTCCAAGATGAGGTGCTTGGATCATATGCTAATGAAATTCTCAAGATGTCTATCTTCGCCAAGAGCCACTGTACTCAAGTTATTAGCTTAGTTCCTGTCTTTCAGCGAGTGTGATCTTATCTAACTCTCATTTTAACATCCGGTGTATCAATTTAATATCACATTATAATTATCATTTAACATCAAACAATTTAATTTTCAATTTTATTTAAACTAAAATTTCTTATCATCTGTTTTTTCATATTCATCATTTTCATCTCTTCTATGTTTATAAAAAATTTCGAATAAATATATGGGTGATTCTCCAAAAAACCTCATTTTGCATGTAATCAAGATTTTCTAAATAATTATAATCATTTGGGAAAATACCAAGTCATATTTCCCTATTTTATCACTTTTTCTAAATGTTCTGCAAGAAAAAGTTGTAAAATTTTATTGTTTAATACATTTTTAAAATATTTTACCACCTCAAAATCGATTTTCTAACCTGTCATCTAAGTGCTTTTCATTTTTTCAATAGGTAAAACAATTATTTAAAACATGAAAATTGGTACTTTATTAATTTTTTCTAAAAGTTATGATATTTAAGAATAATTTTCAAAAATATAAATAAAATATGTCGTGTAGTTTTTTTAAATATAGAAAATGAAATTTGTCATGTAGTACCGCGTCATTCCTCTCACTCGTTGAATATTATCCAATATTTTTGCTGTGGGTAGAGATATTGATTAATTATTGTGATCAATATTTAAATTAACATCTCTAATATTAATTTTTTAAGTTACTTTTTAAAAAATGTCATTATTTTGCGTTAAAAAAATTAAAATTGAGACATAAGCAGAGATTCACAACCTAAAGCGTCATTCCTCTCACCCCTAATAAAAACAATATTAATATATATAAATTGATCGCAAATTTTTTTCACATAAAGTTATCCTTTATAAACATGATAGGGCATTCTAAGCTGGAGGAAAATTATTTGTCAATTAAATAAAATTAAAAAATGTTGAAATCGTCATTCCTCTCACCCGTCATTCCTCTCACTTTTTTGAATAAAAATTAAAAATTGATATGATTGTCGGTTGTTTACAAACTGCCAGTGAAAAGTGAACCTAAAATGTATGAAAAATAATTTTTGACAATTGTTTAAAGAGATTTTTGATAACTGTAAGTATTTCAAAATCTATAAAATTTATAGATAATATTAATAAATTATAATTTTTAAATAATTTTTTGTAAATAGAAAAATATATATAATAAAAAACGCCGGCGCCAAATTTTAACCTCTTAATTTTTTTGTAAATTTTAATTTAAAATATATACTTTAAAAGCTAAAAGTTAGCATGATCATGCTATAGAGGTGGTAGATTTTTGAAAGCTCAATATAATTGACTGCATTAATCCATAAATAATAATTTTTTTTCTTTTCTGTTTGTAACTCACAAAAAGGAGTATTTCGGGAGAATCACCCATATAAACTTTTACGTTCAAGTTGATTTTAATTGGAATAGTAGGTAACAAAATTTTTTACACAAATAATACATTCGAATAAGTGGTTTTTTTTAATTTAAAAATTACTCCAACGTTTCGAAATCCAATACGATTTCCTCTTCATGGAGTCAATAAATAAAAAAGTTTTACATTACATGTCGAAGGAATTAAAATTCGTCCAAAAATTGGAATATAATATTTGTAGTTAGTAACAACAGATTAATTTCGAAACGTTGGATTAATTTTTATATTGAAGAACCACTTGTCCGAATGTATTTGTGTAAAAAATTTTTTTACCTACTATTCAAAAAAAAAAAATTTCAATTTTTATATACGAAGAATAAAATAAAAAGTTAATTAACATTTCATCTCTTGTTGAACTCAAAATTTTTCGAATTACCTATAGCAAAAAAACTATGTAGAATTAAAAGTTAATTAACTTTTTTATTAGAATTTTATTAGAATTTTTAATAAAAATATTAAAATAAATTATTATTATTATAATAATATTTAACAATTAAATATTGTTAAATACCTATTGAAAAGATATTTCTTTTAAAGTATCCTGTAATTTTTTATAGGAATATTTATTAACTTATCAATAATTCAGATTAAAAAAATATTAAAAAATAGCAATCGAAAAATTAAATTTGTCGACTAAAAAACTCGTTATAGTTGATTATCAAAAATTATAAAAATTTGATTCTATATTTCCCAATTTTCCTGATTTAAATACAAAATTAATTAATTAATAAATTAGGCCGTTTTTAGACCCCCCTCCCCCTTGTCACACATTATCAAGCACCCCCCTCCCCTGTAACGTCACGTAACACAGTAGTGGGATAAAAAGACAAAATTTGGTTCAAATTAACTTTTAGACCACAATTTTTAACCAAATTAAAATTTTTTTTCCTCTAACTTAAAACTAAATTCTGAAGAGATTTATCTGTAAGAGTCAATTTTTTAAACTTTGTTTTATAAATTTTTATGTTAATATAAAGTGTAAAAAAAATGATTTTTAAGGGCATTTGAATCATTATGATGTCATAGTTTTAAAACAAATGCTTTAAAAAAATTGTGACGTCATAATGATTTATATGCCCTTAAACTTTTCAATATATTTTAAACAAAAATTTTTTTACATACTCAATATTCATTACAAATGAATAAAATTTTTTACAATTAACATTTTTCCTAAGCCTAAGATTATCCTTATGAAAAAGTTATTTTGCAAATAACTAAATAAATAAATAATAATTTCATCAAGTTTAATTGTTAATGCTATTTATTTGTAAAAATAAGAGAAATTGAAGCAAAACTTCTCTTTTATTAGAAGAAATTAACTGTATAATTTAATCCTAATATTTATAAAACAGGTGATTAATTTTTGACCAAAAATGTTTGAAGATTATAATTGTTTATTCAATTTGTTTAAAAACAAATTTTATTTAAAAAATTTAAAATTAATTTTATTTAAAAAATAATTTATTTTTGATGATAATCTCTGGGCAGCTTACAAGAAACATTAATTGCAAAAATTCCATTCATTTCTGACCAAAAACATCTTTACAATGTTATTGTTTATTAAAATTGTTTAAATAATTAAGCAACAATTATCGCAAAACATCAATTTCATTAAAAGAAAGTTTCATCGCAATAAGCTGAAGTAAATTTATAAAAGAAACAAATTTTCAACTTTAGTCGCATATCTTCGCCTAGTGTGCAATTATTTATATAATTTTTTTAGAACAATTCGTAATCTTAAAAAAAATTTTTTTACTCCTACTTACCCACCATCAGACATAAGATGTATGCAATGTTGAATATATAAAAGATTTTTTGTTTAAAATATATCAGGGAAAATCAAAATTAAATTTTTTTGGCAACCCTGATCTTATCGACCTTTAGGGAAAGCTTCCTGGAAGCATTCAGAAAGATATCTTGCTATATGTGAATATATCTCAATGATTTAAACAACTAGATCACAATGGCTTGATTGTCATCCAATATCCGCCTTTGGCATAAGTTAGAAATTGCGCTTCATCTTTCTCCAAAGGATATATCATTTTAGGCGAAAGCTCCACTGAAAAATCTTTGAAAATAGCAGAAACTGCAAGTTTCATTAAAATTACAGCCATTCTGATGCCAACGCACACTCGCGGTCCCTCACCAAAAGGAAGATAGACAAATTTATGTCTACCACTCTTCTCCTCACTAAATCGTTCAGGCTTAAATTTTTCCGGTTCGTCCCAATATTGCGGATCCATTTGAAGACCAGCCGCTGAAAATGCAACCGTTTGTCCTGGTTCAACAACACACGATAAACCATCAGGTCCCTCAAGTTTTGTTCGCTTGGTACAAATTTTAAAATACGCTCCTAAAATATGATGCACTCTCTGTGATTCATTGAGGACTTTGTCAAAAAATGTCATCTCCTTTAAAGCATCGTAGGTCAATTCACCATTGTACTTGTCGAGTACTGCGGTAATTTCTTCACGCACTTTGTTTTGAATTTCAGGTCGACTCGCTATGTCGGTTATCAAAAAACTCAATGTAATTGCTGTCGTCTCATAAACATCGACAGCAAACGACAACATATGCGCCGCTGCTATTAATTCCTCATCCACACTGTTGTCCTGTGTTCTCTGATAATCCATAACGAATTGCACAAAATCGTGACAAACTATATTCTCCCTTTTTCTCTTCGTAATAATTGCTTTGGAAATTTCACGAAAATATTGATCAACTTCTTTGGGCGTAATCGAGACATTTAGGAATTTCGCCAATGAGGGAACAAAAAATAAGGTAGGTAAACCTACAAGTACCACTTTCACAAAAAAATTTTTTTTTTATACCAGAATTAAGAACTAATTTAGTGCTAATTTAGTACCATATTTAAAAATTTAGAGCTGCTAAACTTTTTAAAAAAACGTATGGTACTGCCAGCTTGACGTATAGCTACAAGTACCATACCCTAAAAAATAACAATTTTTAAAAAACTTTTCCACAGGAATTTAGAACTAATTTAGTGCTCTAACATAGCATTAAAAAGAATTTTCCAAAAACTACCCTTAATCTCAAAAACTACCTAACGAAAAAAAAATATTTTTTCAAAATTTTTTTCACAGAAATTTAGAAGTAATTTAGTGCTCTCACATAGAATTAAAAGGATTATTTTATAAAAACTACCCTTAACCTCAAAAACTACCTAATAAAAATTAAGAAACAAATTTAAAAAAAAAATTTTTCGATAGAATTTTAAAGCTAATAAAGTTTTCAAACTTAGTACTGAAAGATGTTTTCCAAAAACAAATTTTAACCTGAGCTAATTTAGTGCTCAAACAATGCACAAGAAAAATTTTCCACAAAACTACCTTTTACCTCAAAAACTACAAGAAAACAAAGACATAATTATTTCTTAAAAATTTTTTCAGAGCAATTTAGAGATAATTTTGTGCTCAAGAATAGAAATTAAAAGTAATTCACAAAAACTACCTTTTACCTCAAAAACTATCTACAGGAATTTAAAAGGCACATATTTCCAAAATTCTATTCATAGGATTTTAGAACCAATTTAGTGCTCTAACATAGCATTAAAAAGAATTTTCCAAAAACTACCCTTAATCTCAAAACTACCTAACGAAAAAAAAATATTTTTTCAAAATTTTTTTCACAGAAATTTAGAACTAATTTAGTGCTCCCACATAGAATTAAAAGGAGTATTTTACAAAAACTACCCTTAACCTCAAAAACTACCTAGCAAACATAAAAATGTATATTTTTTCAAAACTTTTTTCAATTGAATTTAGAGCTAATTTAGTGCTCTAACAGAGCATTAAAAAGAATTTTCTAAAAAATACTCCTAACCTAAAAAAGTAGACAAAGGAAATAAAAAGGCATTTTTTAAAATTCTTTTTTCACAACAATTTAGAACTAATTAAGTGCTAATTTAGTACCATATATAAAAATTTAGAGCTGTTAAACTTCTTAAGGAAACGTATGGTACTACATATGCTTGACGTATAGCTACAAGTACCATACCCTAAAAAATAACAATTTTTAAAAAACTTTTCCACAGGAATTTAGAACTAATTTAGTGCTAATTTAGTACCATATATAGAAAATTAGAACTGTTAAATTTTTTAAGAAAACGTATGGTACACTAAAAAGTAAGAATTTTTAAAAATCTTTTTCACAGGAATAGAGAATTAATTTAGTGCTTTAACATATCATTAAGAAGAATTTTCCAAAAAACTATCCTCAACCTCTTAAACTACCTAACACAAATAAAAAGGCATATTTTTCAAAAACTTTTTCCATAGGAAAAATATTTTTTGCAACACTAACCTGTAAAATTGAATTTTACACACGGAAAACAGTGTGTAAAGTGATTTTCAGTGCGTAAAATGATTACTTTACGCATTCTAGTGTCAGTAAATTTTTGTTTCGAAAATTCTCAATAATCAAATAAACGAAATATTATTTCAATATAAATATTTTTAAAAATTCTGAAGTGTAGTAAAAGTTATAAACGTTAGTTAAATATGTAGAAAAGCAAAAATTATTTTTTAATACAGAACATAATATTACACAATCTAAATATGAATTAGAAATTTCTATACTAAGTAGAAAAAAATGGAAACGTTTACTAATTCGAGACGCATGCTTATTCCCGAAATCTTTTTTGACCAAATAGTTATTTGATATAAAACTAGTTTACTTAAAATTCACATAATATGCACATTATTTGACATAAATTTCATTGCACACAAAAACCATTTAACATAAATATCATTTGTCATAGAATTCATTAAACAGAAATATTATGTTACATAAAACTCAGGTAACTTAATTCGCAATTGACATAAAAATTATGTAATACATAAATTTCTATTGACATAAAAATCATTTAACATCCCATTTAACATAATTTTCATTTGACATAAAGTTCATTTGACATAAAAGAAATTTAACACAATTCTCATTTGTCATAAAAGTCATTCAACAAAATTCTCATTTGACATAAAAATCATTTTACACAAATTACATTTTACATAACAATATCGGCGCGAATTTTAAAAGTAACCAATTATATATTATCAACAACATTGTGATTCGCCAATTTTGAAATTCGCGCCTATATTTCCATGTCAAATGATCTGTATGTAAAATAAAATCTATGACGAATGAATTTTATGTCAAATGAGAATTATGTGTAATGAGTTATCCTTCAAATGAAATTGATATCAAGTGAACTTTATGTCAAATGAAAATTATGTTAAATGGGATTTATACCAAATGAAATTTATGTCAAGTAAATTTTATGCCAAATGAGAATTATGTTAAATGGAATTCATGGTAAATGAATAAATTATGTTAAATGATATTCACGTCAAATGAAATTTATGTCAAGCTAATTTTATGTCTAATGATATTTATGTCAAATGAGAATTACGTTAAATGACATTTATGCCAAATGAAATTGAAGTCAAATGAATTTTATAACAAATAAAATTTACGTTAAATGAATTTTATGTCAAAAGAAATTTATGTTAAATGATTTTTATGTCAATAGAAATTTATGTTACATAATTTTTATGTCAAATGGGAATTAAGTTATCTGAGTTTTATGTTACATAATATTTCTGTGTAATGAATTCTATGACAAATGATATTTATGTTAAATCGTTTTTGTGAACAATGAAATTTATGTCGAATAATGTGCATATTATGTGAATTTTAAGTTAAGTAGTTTTATATCAAATACATACTTGGTCAAAAAAGATTTCGGGAATAAGTATGCGTCTCACTAATTCAATAGAACAATTTGCTAATTTCTAGTATAAACCTACTCAATTAACACTAGAAACTTAGTAATTTTATAGAAGAAAACCAATTATACGTATGCAAAGAGTTACATTTAATTAGTAGGGGAGAGGTACGCGCGTTGAGACACTAAGATATTATAACCTGTGTAACTGATAATACCAAAAATTCTATTGGCATTTTGTCGTATCATTAATACCAAACTTTTTAATTAAAAAAAGCGCAATAACTCCTGTTTTTTTTTGGTAGAACTAGAGCGAACCAATTTTTTAGTTAAAAAAAGTGTTTTTCAGAATTTCTGTTTAGTGTATTTACCATGTACTTTTTAGTGGCAGAAAAAATTGCGGATAACATTTACATATCAATTTTGGTTCTACTTTAAAGTTCCAACGAAAATTTAGACATACGTTAACATCTACAAATAATTTCAAAGCTTTAAAAAAATAACAGCAAGGTCTGCACGTTGAGACACACTGTGGTACGCAGGTTAAAACGCTCACGGTTTGAAAATAGTACTGTCATTAAAATTGATTTTGAATCCACAATTTTTAAGCGTTTTACATGTTCTTCACCTGTAAAAATTGCGAATATAAAAATTTCGATTAATTATTTTTGTGCAAAATAAAATTTTATTTTTTAATTATTTTTTTAAGTTAATTTTTAATGTTTTAATTTTTTTTCTTTGAGTTAAGACCATCAAAATAAGTAAATAAACAACAAACAATTAGAATCTGACGTAATTATTCATTTTGTTTCAATTTAAAATAAATTATTATGGGTGTCTCAACGTGCGTACCAATTTTTTTTGGTCAAAAATAACATGTTTAAAAAATCAGCTATAAATTTTTCAATTTTGTCCAAAAAAAATAACTTTCTTTGGTAATGTTGTAGCCCTGGACAATACTTTTAAGAAAGCATTTCGAATTTTTCGCTAAATTTTGTTTTTTAAAAATTATAACTGAAAAACAGAACCCGTCTCAACGTGCGTACCTCTCCCCTAGGTATTTTACAATAAAGTTAGTAGACTCTCACTAATACATGAGTTCTTTTAGACTAAAATGTAGTACAATTTTTATAGGTTTGAGATTAAATGCATAGCTTTTTGGAAAAATCTATTAAATGCCATTCTAGAGCACTAAATTAGCTATAAATTCCTAAGAAATTTTTTTTAAAAATTTTGCCTTTTTATTCTCTGTAGGTAGGTAGTTTTTGAGGTTGATGATAGTTTTTGGAAAATTCTTCTTAATGCTATGTTAGAGCACTAAATTAATTCTCAATTCCGGTGAAAAAGATTTTTAAAAATTCTTACTTTTTAGTGTAAGGAACTATGAAACTGAAGTTACCAACTTTTGCTCGACGAAAAATATAATACGTAACAATTTCTATTTCCCCGCCTCAGATCCAATTTTTTTCACTTTTATTATAAATACTAATGTTAGAAGCCATTAGAAATTATTTTCAAGTGGAACCAGGTCGGGGAGGGCAACGATTTTGACTTTTTTTTGTCACAGATTTTTCGAAAATTCAGAAATTTCGAAGGCAATGATTTTGATTTTTGTCGCGGATTTTTCGGAAAATCCATAACAAAAGATCAAAATCGTTGCCCTCCCCGACCTGGTTCCACTTGAAAATAATTTCTAATGGCTTCTAATATTAGTATCTATAATAAATGTGGAAAAAAATTGAATCTGAGGCGGGGAAATTGTTACGTATTATATTTTTCGTCGAACAAACGTTGGTAACTTCAGTTTCATAAGGAACTTATAGCTATATACGTCAAGCCTGTAGTACCATACATTTTCTTAAGATGTTTAACAGCTCTAAATTTTTATATATGGTACTAAATTAGCACTAAATTAGTTCTAAAATCCTGTGAAAAAGTTTTTTAAAAATTTATATTTTTTAGGGTATGGTACTTGGAGCTATACGTCAAGCATATGTAGTACCATACGTTCCCTTAAGAAGTTTAACAGCTCTAAATTTTTATATATGGTACTAAATTAGCACTAAATTAGTTCTAAAATCCTGTGAAAAAGTTTTTTAAAAATTCATATTTTTTAGGGTATGGTACTTGTAGCTATACGTCAAGCATATGTAGTACCATACGTTTCCTTAAGAAGTTTAACAGCTCTAAATTTTTATATATGGTACTAAATTAGCACTAAATTAGTTCTAAATTCCTGTGGAAAAGTTTTTTAAAAATTGTTATTTTTTAGGGTATGGTACTTGGAGCTATACGTCAAGCATATGTAGTACCATACGTTCCCTTAAGAAGTTTAACAGCTCTAAATTTTTATATATGGTACTAAATTAGCACTAAATTAGTTCTAAATTCCTGTGGAAAAGTTTTTTAAAAATTGTTATTTTTTAAGGTATGGTACTTGTAGCTATACGTCAAGCATATGTAGTACCATACGTTCCCTTAAGAAGTTTAACAGCTCTAAATTTTTATATATGGTACTAAATTAGCACTAAATTAGTTCTAAATTCCTGTGGAAAAGTTTTTTAAAAATTGTTATTTTTTAAGGTATGGTACTTGTAGCTATACGTCAAGCATATGTAGTACCATACGTTCCCTTAAGAAGTTTAACAGCTCTAAATTTTTATATATGGTACTAAATTAGCACTAAATTAGTTCTGAAATCCTGTGAAAAAGTTTTTTTAAAATTCATATTTTTTAGGGTATGGTACTTGTAGCTATATACGTCAAGCCTGTAGTACCATACATTTTCTTAAGATGTTTAACAGCTCTAAATTTTTATATATGGTACTAAATTAGCACTAAATTAGTTCTAAAATCCTGTGAAAAAGTTTTTTAAAAATTTATATTTTTTAGGGTATGGTACTTGGAGCTATACGTCAAGCATATGTAGTACCATACGTTCCCTTAAGAAGTTTAACAGCTCTAAATTTTTATATATGGTACTAAATTAGCACTAAATTAGTTCTAAAATCCTGTGAAAAAGTTTTTTAAAAATTCATATTTTTTAGGGTATGGTACTTGTAGCTATACGTCAAGCATATGTAGTACCATACGTTTCCTTAAGAAGTTTAACAGCTCTAAATTTTTATATATGGTACTAAATTAGCACTAAATTAGTTCTAAAATCCTGTGAAAAAGTTTTTTAAAAATTCATATTTTTTAGGGTATGGTACTTGTAGCTATACGTCAAGCATATGTAGTACCATACGTTTCCTTAAGAAGTTTAACAGCTCTAAATTTTTATATATGGTACTAAATTAGCACTAAATTAGTTCTAAATTCCTCTGGAAAAGTTTTTTAAAAATTGTTATTTTTTAGGGTATGGTACTTGGAGCTATACGTCAAGCATATGTAGTACCATACGTGCCCTTAAGAAGTTTAACAGCTCTAAATTTTTATATATGGTACTAAATTAGCACTAAATTAGTTCTAAATTCCTGTGGAAAAGTTTTTTAAAAATTGTTATTTTTTAAGGTATGGTACTTGTAGCTATACGTCAAGCATATGTAGTACCATACGTTCCCTTAAAAAGTTTAACAGCTCTAAATTTTTATATATGGTACTAAATTAGCACTAAATTAGTTCTAAATTCCTGTGGAAAAGTTTTTTAAAAATTGTTATTTTTTAAGGTATGGTACTTGTAGCTATACGTCAAGCATATGTAGTACCATACGTTCCCTTAAGAAGTTTAACCGCTCTAAATTTTTATATATGGTACTAAATTAGCACTAAATTAGTTCTAAAATCCTGTGAAAAAGTTTTTTAAAAATTCATATTTTTTAGGGTATGGTACTTGTAGCTATATACGTCAAGCCTGTAGTACCATACATTTTCTTAAGATGTTTAACAGCTCTAAATTTTTATATATGGTACTAAATTAGCACTAAATTAGTTCTAAATTCCTGTGGAAAAGTTTTTTAAAAATTGTTATTTTTTAGGGTATGGTACTTAGAGCTATACGTCAAGCATATGTAGTACCATACGTTCCCTTAAGAAGTTTAACAGCTCTAAATTTTTATATATGGTACTAAATTAGCACTAAATTATTTCTAAATTCCTGTGGAAAAGTTTTTTAAAAATTGTTATTTTTTAAGGTATGGTACTTGTAGCTATACGTCAAGCTTATGTAGTACCATACGTTCCCTTAAGAAGTTTAACAGCTCTAAATTTATATATATGGTACTAAATTAGCACTAAATTAGTTCTAAATTCCTGTTGAAAAGTTTTTTAAAAATTGTTATTTTTTAAGGTATGGTACTTGTAGCTATACGTCAAGCATATGTAGTACCATACGTTCCCTTAAGAAGTTTAACAGCTCTAAATTTTTATATATGGTACTAAATTAGCACTAAATTAGTTCTAAAATCCTGTGAAAAAGTTTTTTAAAAATTCATATTTTTTAGGGTATGGTACTTGTAGCTATACGTCAAGCATATGTAGTACCATACGTTTCCTTAAGAAGTTTAACAGCTCTAAATTTTTATATATGGTACTAAATTAGCACTAAATTAGTTCTATATTCCTGTTGAAAAGTTTTTTAAAAATTGTTATTTTTTAAGGTATGGTACTTGTAGCTATACGTCAAGCATATGTAGTACCATACGTTTTCTTAAAAAATTTAACAGCTCTAATTTTTTATATATCGTACTAGATAAGCACTAAATTAGTTCTAAATTCCTGTGGAAAAGTTTTTTAAAAATTGTTATTTTTTAGGGTATGGTACTTGGAGCTATACGTCAAGCATATGTAGTACTATACATTTCCTTAAGAAGTTTAACAGCTCTAAATTTTTATATATGGTAGTAAATTAGCACTTAATTAGTTCTAAATTGTTGTGAAAAAAGAATTTTAAAAAATGCCTTTTTATTTCCTTTGTCTACTTTTTTAGGTTAGGAGTATTTTTTAGAAAATTCTTTTTAATGCTCTGTTAGAGCACTAAATTAGCTCTAAATTCAATTGAAAAAAGTTTTGAAAAAATATACATTTTTATGTTTGCTAGGTAGTTTTTGAGGTTAAGGGTAGTTTTTGTAAAATACTCCTTTTAATTCTATGTGGGAGCACTAAATTAGTTCTAAATTTCTGTGAAAAAAATTTTGAAAAAATATTTTTTTTTCGTTAGGTAGTTTTGAGATTAAGGGTAGTTTTTGGAAAATTTTTCTTGTGCATTGTTTGAGCACTAAATTAGCTCAGGTTAAAATTTGTTTTTGGAAAACATCTTTCAGTACTAAGTTTGAAAACTTTATTAGCTTTAAAATTCTATCGAAAAATTTTTTTTTAAAATTTGTTTCTTAATTTTTATTAGGTAGTTTTTGAGGTTAAGGGTAGTTTTTATAAAATAATCCTTTTAATTCTATGTGAGAGCACTAAATTAGTTCTAAATTTCTGTGAAAAAAATTTTGAAAAAATATTTTTTTTTCGTTAGGTAGTTTTTGAGATTAAGGATAGTTTTTGGAAAATTCTTTTTAATGCTATGTTAGAGCACTAAATTAGTTCTAAATTCCTGTGGAAAAGTTTTTTAAAAATTGTTATTTTTTAGGGTATGGTACTTGTAGCTATACGTCAAGCTGGCAGTACCATACGTTTTTTTAAAAAGTTTAGCAGCTCTAAATTTTTAAATATGGTACTAAATTAGCACTAAATTAGTTCTTAATTCTGGTATAAAAAAAAAATTTTTTTGTGAAAGTGGTACTTGTAGGTTTACCTACCTCAAAAAATATCATTCGATGCAGTATTTCAGTGGTAATCGATGGCAATTGAAAGAGTTTCTCCACCAATTGATTGTAGGTGAATTCGCCAAATTTCGGTTGATTTATCTCATCCTGAAAATTATGGACCTCGATACCCATTCCATTCGATGAGATTTCACCTGTAAATTTATTGCAAAGTGCCTTGAGATCAAATTCGTATGGACCATTTTCCCTAGTACATTGCTCGTGCAAGTAGTCATTCATTTTTTTAGCCACATTCTGAAATAATGGTAGCATTAATTTCATTTTATTCGCAGAGAAACTTTTTGTTAATGGTGCACGTGCCTTCTTCCACTTTTCACCTTTCACGAAAAATGGATTAAAATTAAGAAGTTGATCCTCCTTTTGGGCAGTGAGTTGAAAGGGATTTTGACCAAATGAAGTAAAATTTGTTTGAAGAACACTTTTCACAATATCCGGATCACGAATTAAAAGTATTGGCGTGAAAAATTGATAGTATCCACACATGCTATGCTCTTTGTTTTCGTTGTGAAATATTTCGCACAATGATGCTATACTTTTTTGAACTGTTATCACTGGCAGCATGTGACCTAAAAATGGTATAAATCCTTTGGCGGTTGGTATTCCCCTCCTTCGAAAATAAGTGCACTGCCAAATTAAATAGAAATGCGTGAGGAATACAACAAAAATTATGGAGGCAATAATATTGCTAAGCTCCATTCTTGAAAAGTAGTCGCTCACTGATAAGTTTCCTTTTATGAACAAATGAGCCGTTCGCTAGAAAAACTGCTTAAGTCGACTTAAGCGGTTTTAAAAAATTTTTTTATCAGTGTATTCTACAAGACATATAGATTACATATATCAAGTTTCTAAAGTTGTGGGTCACTATTTATGAATTAATTGAGGTGTTTAAACTTCCTGGGTCCCGAAACTGAAGCACTTACGCAGGCGCGCGTTCACGTCCTCTGCTACCGCGCACAGTGGGAAGAAATGCAGTGTTTTGGACAAAATTCTGCCGACAATACAAATCTCCACCGATTTCAATTTTCTTTTTTTTTTAAATACTAAAGAAGGTTTTTCCTACAAGCCTTCACTGCTATAAATTTGAAATTTTCAAAATTTTTGGATTATTACAAAAGCGAGTAATTTTTTCATTTTGTTAACTAAACTTGTGCATTATAATGTTGAACTTTAATTGAATATTACTATAAAATATATCGTAAGACTTTTTAGAATAATAAGTATGTTTTAATACATTAAAATAAAAGTGTTCTTTCATAAAATACTTAATTTTGTTTCATTTTTAGTGGTTCGCCGGAAAAACCACTTAAGTCATTTGTTATAAAATAATGTTATTAAAGTAGCAAAACATTGTTTACTCGACCTTCTTTTCTTTTAAAGTATTCTTTGATAATACCTTTGTATTGAGAAAAATGAGCGATATAATTAATACGTAAATTATATTAGTAATTTGTTTCTGAATCTTTAATTTAATTTTTTCGTCAAAAACTTAAGGGTCATTTCGGAGGAGAGTTAAGGTTCATGTCTCAGATTTTTTTTATATTTTGCTTATTAATAGTATTTTGGGTCCTAAACAACTATACCAAATTTAAATCAAATATTTTTATTATTTTTCAAGATATTTGCATTGCAAATTTCTTGACATTTTTTTTTCATTTTATTATAACTCACTTATTTTTAAAAATTTATTAAATTTGTTAAGAACCTTTTTTACGTAAAAACCATTGAAGTTTAATAAAAAAAATTGAAAATGAAAAAATATCAATTTTTTAAATTATTTATTTATAAAATTATATTTATTTTTAATGTTTAAGCATGAGCCCTATCAGATTTTGTTTTTAAAAAAATCTTATTTTAAAGTTTAAGATCTCATTAAAAAACCGTGAAATTTTTAAAATGGCATCTGTCTTTGTTTTTTAGTAATAAATGGTCAAAGTTTTAATTGCACTATCGCGCGCCGGCTCACAGTGGGATTTTTTTACAATTTACTGTACAAAAATTACTACAGCCTACAATTTTTAACCGATTTGAGTCTTTTTTGTTTTAAATTAAAGGGGACATCCCGGGAGGCCGATTTTTTAAATATTAATTGTTTATAATTTTTTATTTTAAAAAAATTAATACAATTTTTTTTTAAACGGACGTTTATTTTTTTATTCCGTTACTGCACATGATCTAAATAAGTTCAAAATAATCCAATATGTCCACCAGAAAATTATTAAAACAAAATAATTTATTTAAATTGTTATAAACAATATTAATTAACAAATAGTTAACTTTGATTCCTATTCACTAAAAAATGTTTTTTTTTCACATTTACTTTTATATTTAGGTTCATTTAAAGAATATATGTCCTCTCCTTGTTTAAATAAGTTATTTTTTAAACAAGTAGGACATGTATTCTTGAAATAAAATTAAATCAAAAAGAAAATGTGGAAAAAAACCTTCTTTAGTGAAGAGGAATCAAAGTTATCTATTTGTTTAATTATATTGTTTATAACAATTTAAATAAGTTATATTTTGAACGAGGAGGACATATATTCTTTAAATGAACCTAAATATAAAAGTAAATGTGAAAAAAAACATTTTTTAGTGAACAGGAATCAAAGTTAACTTTTTGTTAATTAATATTGTTTATAACATTTTAAATAAATTATTTTATGTTTTATTAATTGTCTGGTGGTCATATTAGATTATTTTGAACTGATTTAGATCATGTGCAGTAACGGAATAAAAAAATAAACGTCCTTTTAAAAAAAATTGTATTAATTTTTTTAAAATAAAAAATTATAAACAATTAATATTTAAAAAATCGGCCTCCCGAGATGTCCCCTTTAATTTAAAACAAAAAAGACTCAAATCGGTTAAAAATTGTAGGATGTAGTCATTTTTGAACAGTAAATTGTAAAAAAATCCCACTGCGAGCCGGCGCGCGATAGTGCAATTAAAACTTTGACAATTTATTACTAAAAAACAAAGACAGATGCTATTCTAAAAATTTCACTGTTTTTTAATGAGATCTTAAACTTTAAAATAAAATTTTTTTAAAACAAAATCTGATAGGGCTCATGCTTAAACATTAAAAATAAATATAATTTTATAAATAAATAATTTAAAAAATTGATATTTTTTCATTTTCAATTTTTTTTATTAAACTTCAATGGTTTTTACGTAAAAAAGGTTCTTAAAAAATTTAATAAATTTTTAAAAATAAGTGAGTTATAATAAAATGAAAAAAAAAATGTCAAGAAATTTGCAATGCAAATATCTTGAAAAATAATAAAAATACTTGATGAAAATTTGGTATAGTTGTTTAGGAACCAAAATACTATTAATAAGCAAAATTAATATTAATAAGCAAAAAAATCTGAGACATGAACCTTAACTCTCCTCCGAAATGAACCTTAAGTCGACTTAGGTCGTTTTTCTAGCGAACGGCTCAAATACATTGACGTGTAAATACAATGTATATTAATGCCATGATACTTTTTTAAAAACTATCACAAGATAAGATATTGCAGTTAGTTTTATTTTTATAATTCCTAACGAAGTTGAAGTCCACAACGTTGATCAACGAAATAAATTTATTTAATGCAGTCAAGCATTATTCTTAATTTAATATTTAATTGTAAAATAATTATTATCAAAACATAAACATCAATCTTTTTTTTCTAAATATTTTTGTGTCAATATTGCTGCGTAATTTTTAATTAATTTACTTAGTGAACAAATTTTTTTCGTCGATCAATGTTGTGGACTTCAACTTGGTAATTCCTAAAGGAAAATCGACTATTAAATAAGAGGTTTTATTAACATGAAAATAAATTATAACTAAATTTATGACAATTTCGATTCGACAATTCTAAGTAGAAAACAAGAATTCCGATACAATTTTTTTTAAATAATATAATTTGATGTTAAATTTTAGTTCGATTTTGACTTAGACATTGATTTTTACCTAAACTTTGACTTTGATATTGACTTTGACCATGACTTTAACTTTAACTATGAATTTAACTATGACTTTGACTTTGACTTTGACTTTGACTTTGACTTTGACTTTGACTTTGACTTTGACTTTCTAGGTAAAAATTAACATTCAAGTCAAAATCGAAACGAAAGTCAAAGTTAAATTACAATTTAAAAAATTATAATAAATAAAATTTGAAATAATTTTTAAAATTTTGACTTTGACTTTCATTTCACTTTCTAGGTCAAAATTAACGTTAAAGTCAAAATCAAAACGAAAGTCAAAGTTAAATTACAATTTAAAAAATTATGATAAATGAAATTTGAAAGAATTTTTAAAAATTTTGACTTCGACTTTGATTTTTACTTTCTAGGTCAAAATTAACGTTAAAGTCAAAATCGAAACGAAAGTCTTTGGCTTTTCGTTTAAATTACAATTTAAAAAATTATGATAAATGAAATTTGAAAGAATTTAAAAAAATTTTGACTTTTACTTTGACTTTCTAGGTCAAAATTAATGTTAAAGTCAAAGTCAAACTACAATTTAAAAAATTATGATAAATGAAATTTGAAATTATTTTTAAAAATTTTTATAAAATGATTTAAGAAAATTCATTTCTTTCCAAAAATTTTGATAATATTCGTTACAAGAATTGAATTATTTTCATAAATAATAAAATTCTACAGAGGATTTCAATTATTTTTAATGCATACGTTTAAATTCATTCCTAGAAAAATGTAATTATTCTTAAAAATTTTATTAAAATTCGTCAAAAGAGTTCAATTACTTAAAAATTTGTTGATAAAATTCTTTATGATAATTCAATTTTATAAACATTCAATAAATTATTTATTTTTGTATTTAAATAGTTATTGAATTCTCGTAGAACTTTTTAATAAGGATTGATTTAAAAATGAATATATTAGTTATAATTTTAGATTATGGTTGAATATTATATAATAGTTATTATAGTATGTTTTTTTGTTATAGTTAAGTTTAAAAAAGGTTTTACAATTAAAATGATTGAACATTTTAATTCCAGTGGAAAAATAAATAAGTATTTACGTGTATAATATTTGTGAAACAAAAATTTCAATATATTTACTATTTTTATAAAATTTCTTAAAAGAAATCTATTTAAAAAAACAATTAATTAGTCATCGTAAAAAATCAATTAATATCAAGAATATAAAAATTTTCACAAAGAATTCAATTATTTATTATTAAATTTTCCAGAAAATTACTCCAAAAAAATCAATTATTTAAAATGTTTTTTAATAAAATTCTTTCAAAGAAATTAATTATTTTCTAAAATTTTGATAGCATTTGTTTATAATTAAAATTAAATTATATAAAATTAAATTTTTCTTTAAAATTTTTATAAAATTATTCAAAAAAGTTCAATTCTTTCCAAAAATTGAAATAAAATTAGTTGCAGGAATTCAATTATTTACATAAATAATAAAATTCTTTATACAGGACTTCTTGACAATTTATTTTTACAATTTTTGGAGTCGAATATCAAATTTGGGCTTTTTTTCACCAAAATGGAGCTTTTTTATTAGAGAAGAGCTTTTTTCGAAACACAGAGAAGTTCCATGGAATTTCCAGAAGGTACTTCCATGGAATTTTTTGTTATACTATGAATTTTTAAAAATAGTTAAATTTCAAAAAGTATTCACCTTAAAATTATTTAAAATTTTAATTCCTGTGGAAACATAAATAAATTAATATATACCTTTATATTTATTAATAAAAAATTATTTGATTTTTTGAAGGAATTCTAACTAAAAGTTTGGAAAATAATTGAATTTCATAAAAATTTAGAGTTAAATTTATTATACCAGGATGAGAAAAGAAGTGAAGATTTTTTATGGAAATCAGGAAAATGTGAAATTTAATTTTTCGCTAATATTTTTATAAATATTGGAAATGTACCCAGATAGTACGAAAGCTTACGACAAGCCAAGCCTGGAATGTAGCCAAGCTTGTAGAACAAGATTACCGCAAGCTTGTCTGACATAGCAAAATGTCCACTAATGCTATATTAGAGAGTCGATAATAATTTAAGAATAAGTTTGAAAATGAAAAAATTATAAAGTGCGCATAATTTATGAAATTGTTATAAAATTCCCGAATAGCTGCAAGAATATAAGCAGATATAATTATTACGTTA